CTATCTATATATATATATATCTATCTACCTATCTATCTATCTATCTATCTATCTATCTATCTATCTATCTATCTATCTGTCTATCTATCTATCTATCTATCTATCTATCTATCTATCTATCTATCTATCTATCTATCTGTCTATCTATCTATCTATCTAGCTAGGCAGTATCTGAATGAATAAAGGATGTATTAATTATCTATCTATCTATGCATATCATGTTTATGTTGTGTGGGACTGCTCCTTACAGATTTTTCCATCTGTATCATGTTTCCATATATTTTTGTCCTATTTCCATAAATTCATAACATATTTCTATATATATGTATAATATTTCCATATATTTGTATACTATTTCCATATATTTGTATCATATTTCCTTATATTTGTATCATATTTCTATATATTTGTATCATATTTTCATATATTTGTATCCTTTTCCATATATTTGTATCATATTTCGTAAATGTTTCCACCGGAGGAAATGTTTTTTTTTAATTTAATGGTAATTACTCCATCGGAAGTATGGTGATTTACACTCAGGACACTAATCACTTCATCGGAGGGAGGGTAATTAACACTCATGACACTAATTACTCTACTGGAGGGATGGTAATCAACACTCAGGACACTAATTACTCCAATTGGATGGATGGTAATCAACACTCAGGACACAAATTACTCCAATTGGATGGATGGTAATCAACACTCAGGACACTAATTACTCCATTGGATGGATGGTAATCAACACTCGGGACACTAATTACACCATTGGATGGATGGTAATCAACACTCAGGACACAAATTACTCCAATTGGATGGATGGTAATCAACACTCAGGATACTAATTACTTCAATTGGATGGATGGTAATCAACACTCAGGACACTAATTACTCTACTGGAGGGATGGTAATCAACACTCAGGACACTAATTACTCCAATTGGATGGATGGTAATTAACACTCAGGACACTAATTACTCTACTGGAGGGATGGTAATCAACACTCAGGACACAAATTACTCTAATTGGATGGATGGTAATTAACACTCAGGACACTAATTACACCATTGGATGGATGGTAATTAACACTCAGGACACCAATTACTCCTGAGTGTTTATTACCATCCCTCCGTTAGAAATAATTTGCCTCCGGTGGCCTCAGCTCTAGCGGAGATGACAGAATATGGTGCTGCAAACCTTTAATCTCTCGAACTCTATCGTATAAACTTGTTTATGTACAAAAATAAAGACTCATTTAAAAGTCACCAATTTGACATAAATTTAAAATTTTGATTGTCCTAAAATGTTTATATGAAAAAAATCTAAATCTTAACAAGATTTTCATAAGGAGCCTAGGGACATTGCAGAAGAAGACATTTCGAACATTCCAACTTTTTACGAATGTTTTGTATTTTTCTTTGTATCTTTGTATTTTCTATTTTTACCTATTTTATCACAAATATTTCCTCAAAATCGATATTTTTTCATTTCTTTAATTTAATATCCATATTTTGTTGTTTTCTTAATGTTTCTTTATAATTTTATTACTTTTATCTATATATCTTTTCATATTCATAAATAAGTTTATGCCAACAATTGTTAAAACCGCCCACAGATCTAAGGGAGTGGTTGCCCCAATGAATTATAAGAAGAGAGAGATTAGTATATATTTTAGGGCTAGGTTAGGTTAAGACACTTTCTGGGCCACGCGCTGCGGCTAGGACAGGCTAGGGGGCCGTAAAGTACTCTAAAAACCTTGTATTCTATATAGATATATATTCTGGTATTCAGGTTGAAATGTACTCTGTAAAGTATTCTGAAAACCTTGTATTCTATATAGATATATACTCTGGTATGCAGGTTAAAATGTACTCTGTAAAGTACTCTGAAAACCTTGTATTCTATATAGATATATATTCTGGTATTCCGGTTGAAATGTACTCTGTAAAGTACTCTGAAAACCTTGTATTCCTTATAGATATATATTCTGGTATTCAGGTTGAAATGTACTCTGTAAAGAACTCTGAAAACCTTGTATTCTATATAGATATATATTCTGGCATTCATCTCTCATGAGATCACAACTTGTCTGGATATAAATAATATATTTATCTATCAATATATTTGTCGGTTTATCTATCTATCTGTCTGTCTATCTAAATATCTATCTATCTATATATCCTTCTATCTATCTATCTAGTTATATATCTATCTATCCATCTATCTATCTATCTATCCTTCTATATATCTATCAATCTATCTATCTAGTTATCTATCTATCTATATATCTTCCTATCTATATATCTGGATTTGAATAATTTATTTATCGAATATTAAAATATATTTCCTCACACCAGGCAATTCTTTCTCAAAGGAAAATACAGTGTGAGTAAAAAAACGGGATTAGCGATATTTTCCGAATTTTGAGTTTTCCTGGGATTTGCGGTGTAAAAACATTGAAATATGTGACAACAAAAAAATTATTAGATAATTTTGAAACATTTAAAAAAATGTTAATTTTCTTTTTTTATTAAATTTGTACACTTATAGAAAAACTAACATTTTGTCAGATATCTCTAATCTCTTCGTAAAATCTTTGCGAAAAATAATTTCTCGAAACCATAAGTGTTGTAACTGCAAGAATTAATTGCACATAATACTTCACTTTCTTTTTTCGCAAAATAAATTAAAGCAAAATTTCGCGTAAAAACCGAAATTTTTTTCATTTTTTCGAGTGAACGAAATGAAAAAAACTGCGAACTTTCGATAAACGATTTTCGCTGGAATGTTTATCGTTTCGAATTATGGAAGTCAAAATATATTGATTGTAATAATCAATATTGTGATTGCACACCCTGTAGTAATCAATATTGTGATTGCACACCCTGTAATAATCAATATTATGATTGCACACCTTGTAATAAGTTTGACAGTTCATCCATCTTTATTTTCTATAATCTTTGCTCTCCATCCAATACATCAAACTGTATAATCTTATTATATATTTATTGTGTAAATATGTTTATTTTTACATAAAAATATTTAATAAGTGTCTTTATTACATATAATAAATCAAACAGAAATAAATGCAACTTAATTACAAAACTAGCTTGGGAACCCAGCTTTGTCTGGAAAATAAACTTTATCTATAAATATTTGAACGTAAACCAAGCTAAGAACATTCTTGTTGTTTTAGTGAAATTGGGTATGGAGTTTAGTAACATAGCTTTATTATACAGAACTATAGCGACACTTTCTGGACAAATATCAAATTAAAGTCTACAAAGTTAAACAATCTTTGATCTCGTGAATTCACTTCAAAGCTTAAAACTTTTAATAGTTAATAATCTCAGAGATGTACATTTCTAGCTTCCGAGATATTTTTCTTGAATATGGGGGAAACTAAAGGGTAATAATATAGTTGATTGAAACAATGGGGAATTACTATGTATAAATATAAACTTACAGATAACAGGGTGTGAAAAGGGGTGAGAGGTGAAGGAGGGGGGGGGGGTCGAATCAAAGGAGTGAGTAGAGGGGGAGGGTTGTAACAAAAGTTAGTAAAGGAAAGCAACACATAAACAAATAAAAATAATAGAAAATATATCAGAAGTTGCTGGAAACGTTTAATAGACGTAATCATCAGTAAATGTCGTGTGTCATTTACACTTCTCTGAATTAAAATGTCTGAAAATTTTAAATATTTAGAATTGCGGTTGTATTTGTAATTGTTCTCTTTCAGTGTATTGTATTACTCATACGAGTGTAACCGGAAGAATTTGACCGGCAGCCAAATTTAATACTGTCCTCCGATTGGTCGATGGACAAAACACTGCTTTCCCATTGGTCGTTTGATCAGCTGACCAGATATCTTGTCTGTTATTGGCTGAAAAAACTCCTTCCTGCTATTGGTTGATATAGTCACATGATGGAAATGCTGGCCTGTGATTGGTTAGGATTGAACTAGAAAGGCTGTATTGAACTGAAGGGGATATAAGAGGATTTGCTGAAGGAGATGTCAGTAGTCAAGACACTTTCAAGTGATAGCCCTCTTGAGAAAGAGCTATTAAAATTAGAACAAAAAATGTCTATGATGAAATATTTACATCGGAGGGGGGAAAACTAAAAGCACAAACAATTGATACTTAAAATCAGATTCTTTTATTGAGTTACACAATTGGATTGCACAATGTTGAAAAATATAAATAGTTCTAAATTTTTGCAAAATTAGAAAGAATTTCTGCATCATTTAATTCATCCACAGAAGTGGATGAATTTGTTTGCGGAAACATTCTTGCTCTGTTTAGGACACACAAAATAACTAAAATTAAGAAAAACTTAAAAGGACAGTTAGTTAGTGGACTATTTATAATATATGTTTATAACATTAGATCAATATGTACAAAACTATAATATATGTATATAACATTAGATCAATATGTACAAAACTATAATATATGTATATAACATTAGATCAATATGTACAAAACTATAATATATGTATATAACATTAGATCAATATGCACAAAACTATAATATATGTACGTATATAACATTAGATCAATATGTACAAAACTATAATATATGTATATAACATTAGATCAATATGTACAAAACTATAATATATGTATATAACATTAGATCAATATGCACAAAACTATAATATATGTACGTATATAACATTAGATCAATATGTACAAAACTACAATATATGTTTATAACATTAGATCAATATGTACAAAACTATAATATATTTATATAACATTAGATCAATATGTACAATTGCAAATTACAAATGTTAGATCAATTGCAATAGTGAATAACTTTGCATGCATATTCTGCTTGAAGCATGTAGGGTCTTTGATGAAAAATTAACTATTTTTTTAACTAACATTTTCAAAAGCTGCCCAAACTTGGAGCCTAGTCATTACGATAGAAAAATGCTATTTTTAAAATTAAGAATATAAAAATCTATCATGTTGAAAAATAATAATGTTTTAAATATGTATTTTTCAGAAAATTAAATTGCACAAAATGGCCGCCGAAGGACAAAATTATGTTGCCACAGTAGTTAGAGACGATTTTTTCAATGATCCTTTTTTCAAGGTAAACATAAAATTCAAGAGACTTTAGATAAAATTTGATTATTTTTATTATCATATTATACCACTCTATCACTCCAGTGATAGAGTGGTAGGTCCAATTCACATTGGTACCCTTAAACACAATCTGTCTGATGAAGTATGAATTTGATATCCATGTTTTTGTTTTTGAAAACTGATTATTTTCATTCGTGGTTTCTTTACAAAAGTGACTTTCTTGCATGGAGATTTTTAAAAAATAAAAACTTTTTAAGAAAGAAAAACGATTCCTTATTATTGATCAGACTAAGGTTTTTAGGGTACCGATGTGAATTGAGCATGCCTAGTGACATAAAGAGACCATTAACGTACTTTTAAATGACACTTGTTTGATAGAGCGGTTTGTCCGATGTACAACGGTATCTCTTTTAACAGCTAAATATTGAACTTATATTTGTGGGTTTGCAGAGTTTAATAAAAGATAAAAACATAGAAACTTTATCAACATTTCTCATGCAGGAAATATTCCTTAGTTGATTAAAAAGATAAATTTGAATTATTAAATTGTTTAAATTATTTAAAAACTAAATTGAAGAAAATGATGATTATAGCAATCATGGCGGTATCATCTATCTTTATATCTATCTCATTATCCAATTAGAGACGTGAATCCTTCAATCAGCGCTATAAATGGAAATATTACTTCTACTGAAACTATAGTAATGCTAAGATGTCAATGCCCGATTTACAACGGACAACAGTTAAAAGCGTTATCTATTCAAGAATGAATTAGTTATCAATGTTTATAATTTTTAGAAACTGATTGTTTTCAATTGTGGTTTCTCTTCAAAATTTACTTTTAAGCCTAGAAAAACGACAATATCGATAACAATGTGAATCGGGCATTGCCAGCTATGCATGGAGGGTCACTTGAAATTACGCATACAGTCCAGTTTGCTAAATTTAAAATGTTAAGGACTGGTGGGGGGACTTTGATGCTCCCATGGCTCAAATGAACAAAAATATGGAACGTCAAGTTTCAGGTATTTTTTCGTAGACTTTTAGAGCACTTCGCGGCCCATCTTTTTATAATTATAGTTTTGCACATTTTACCTTTTGACGTTTATTTAAAACAATTTTTCCATGATTTTAGTCTTACAATGTCATCTTCAGCTAAATCTATGATGTTTAAAGTCTGATGAATATTGTCTAAAGTCTGATGTCTAATTATGTCCGATGTCTGATATCTAATTATGTCTGATATCTGATGTCTAATTATGTCTGATGTCTGATGTCTGATAACCTAGTTTTATATCTAATACTCCGTAATTTGATAGATCCGATAACACACTTTTCTTAGAAAAAAATCCCTAGAGGGAATTCATTTCAACGAATAAAATCTTTTTCAAGATCCAAATTTTGACTTAAAAGAATCTGATAAAAAGTTAGAACTATTTTGAATTTTATTTTGTCCCACATTTTCTTGATAAACAACAGTAATCGGTGTATTTAACATTTTATTAGNCCCCCCATGTTAGACTCGAACTGGAACAATTTTATACTTAAGAAGAAAACATCAAAATGCATGTTAACCTAGCAGTAAAAAAAAACCTGTTTAACTTCAGAAATTTGTCCAAAAATAATGTTTAAACTTCCACCATTAACCTTGTTGAAGTATGAAATTAGTTCACATGAACAAGCATCAAAGTATAAAAACAACAAGATTTTCTCGGCCTTCAAATTTTGCAAATTCCTTTCCGTCATTGTCAATATTTACAGGGGGAGTCAAAGAAAGGTGTGATTAGCAGCTTCTGGAGCAAAAATGTTCGGTTTTTTTTATGAAACTCTATTTTTATATAATCCTTTTTTCTCTAAAAATCAGAAGTGAGGGTGAACGAATTTTATAAATTTTGGTCTAAAAGTTTATAGATATGTTATAAATCCGTAAAGCTTCCGTAGAATATAGACATTTAACAGTTCACAATAAAAGACCAAAACTAAAAATTGCGAATTTTATAATTACAATTTTGGGAAGTTTTCTTTGATTCTTAAACTCAATCTTGATGAAACTTTAGAATTAGATTAAAATGATATATTATTATTATCTTGCTCTCCTGAGCTGAAAACTTTAGAATGAAATATCCTTAATCCCGATTACTTAATCTGAGTATCCAATGGACACACTTTTGATTTGCTTCTTAAACCGTTCTTTCTTGGCTATAGTAGAGAAAAATCAAACATCGGTTTTTAAAATTAGAGAGTTCCTACTGTTTCTGTATATTAATCTTAAATGGCGCGCAAAATTTCAAATTTATCGGTTTTATTTACGCGACTCTGATTGGTTGAATTTTATACACTTTTTAGGATACAAGTACAAGATTAGGTTAGTCTGGAGATTAAGAAAAAGATCTCGATATCCACCATTTTAAAGTTTTCAGCTCTGAACTTTTAATTTTGAGAGGGGAAAAGTTTATCAAAAAAATTAAGAAATATGAAAAAAGGTAGAATTTGGCAGCGGAGTCTGCTTATCGCAATTTTTTTACTCCCCCTGTACATTGTACACAAATAAAGCTGGAAAATTCTATCAACCCTATTCCTATTCCTATTCCTGTAGTTTTTTTTTATAACTCAAAAAGTATTGGTCTGAGGCTGTTGAAATTTTCTGACTTTTCTTACATACCCAAAGCCCACCCTTTAGGCCTAAAACCGGGCTTTAATACTAACTGCCTGAGTCCTTAGGCACACTGCCTATATGACTGTTTTTGCCTGTAACAAACTAAATCTTTGTTTTGACCCACTTTCACTTGTCAGATTTTGATAAAATTTAGCTTTTTGGAAAGCCTTTGACATAAGGAAACGGATTGCACAAGTTTTGAGAAAAAAAATTGCAATTTTTTTGCAAACAACCTGTCAAAGGAAATTTGCACATTTTTAGTTTTTCTTGATTAAAAATCAGGTTATTTAAAATTTTGCAAAATTTTTTGCATATTTGAAATGGCATGGTCAAGGGCTTTTCAAAAATGTATAATTTTTCATTTTTTGGACAAATTTTTTTTGCAAACATTTTTACTATATAACTGGATTTTGCGATAAAAAATTCAATTTTTGCAAATTTGCAAATTTTTTTGCAGATTCTAAAAGTAGAGCACAAGAGCTTTCTAATGATGTATCATCTGTCATATTTGGACATAAAACATGGGATTTAGAGGGGGGGGGGGCAATTTGACCCCCCCCCCCCAGCATATCCTGGTTTTCAAGTACCCCAGCAGGGATAGGGTTAAAAGTATTTACTCCATCTTGTCTTGTCTGTCTCTAATGTAAGAAGAATAAACGGACACAGATTCAGACTGGTTTGAATCTTTGCATGTTAATGTTCATGATCTCTGGGTCAATTTTAAATTTTTATCTCAATAATTCACATACTTTTTTGTCTACAGATAACTCTGGAATAGGAAGACGACTTTTAAATTTAAATTATGACTTTAGATAGTCTAATGAGCACGGGAAACAGATATTGTTCAGTGTAAACAGACCTTGATTTGTCATTTAAAAAGTGTCTAGTAAAACTATTTGCTTTACAACAACAACAAGTAAACTTCTGCATTGCTATAAATTCGTCTTCCTATTTCGGAGTTGTCTGGTTATCACTGTATATAAACTAACTTTGGCTCTTAAGAAGTAATTTTTAAAATTCTTATCGATTTCTTCTTGAGCTTTCAATTTTTGGATCACGATTTATTTACTGCAATAAGTTTGTTTTCACTTGTCCTGTAAAATCAGATTCTTGAACCAATCAGAAACAAGTTCAGATTCTTGAACCAATCAGAAACGAGCAGTCATACATCCAGTAAATAAGGAGAAATCAGTAATTGGCCAATTCTCACAAATTGTTTGAGAGGTTTACGATCAATTTCGATTATGTCGAACACAATGTTAGAATTTTTTGCATCTTTCATAAATGATTTGTTTGTTATTTAATTTAAAAAAAAAAATTTGTCGGCCATTTTAAATGGTCTGTCGACGATATTTCAATTTAAAAAGTTAAATAATTAACTGAGCAAAACTGATAGATTTTTTTTTGCTTTTTTTTGTAAAAAATGATTGTTTGTGGTTTTCTCTAAAAGTAAATAATTGATGCTGCAGAGACACCTGGGAGGGAAACTTAGAAAATATTTATCTTTGCAAGATAAAAAAACAATAATTAATTATGAAAAGGGCCTGAGATCACCGTTGTGACTCGGGATTTCCTCTTTTAGAATTTGAAATCCCTTCGTCTGCAGAAATGCAAGACGCATTTAAAAAAAAATAAGAGCTTAGAGCAATAATATTTTAAGTTTGAGGTTATTAATGTTAGCATTTCCTGTAAATAAAGTATTTAAAACTGATTTTTTTCGCTTTATTTCAACTGGCCTTGTATTTATATTTTGAAAAAAAATCGAAAAATTTTTCCGGAAAACAACCTCTATAAAGAGCAAAAATCTCATTTTCATCTTTAAAAGAATTTATCAAAAATAAATGTTCTTTCTCAGTCAAAGTTCAGATTCTTCATGGTTATAAGGCTTGAAAAGTAATTTTTTTTCTAACACTGTACAATGCTTTTCTTTCATCCTAAAATGTCCATTATGTAATCAATATTATGTAATCATACACCCTTTCTACTACTTGGCTCCCATACTTTGACAGGGTTATAGAGCTTGTTTTCAGACAGAAAGAAAACATGTCACCACCGGGCCTGGCATTTTAAACAAAAGACGCTTTATTGAGAAACTAGCATGGAAACCCAGCTTTGCCTAGAGTTTTTCCAATTAAAGTCAACCCACTCAACTTAGAAGACTAAGAACTTTTATGTGTTTCTACCAAGTTCCCCAATCAAAATTTGATACAAATCAGCCAAGAGGTTTCTGAGTTTTGATCGGAAATTTAATTTTCAATTTTTACCCAGCAAACAAATGAAGCTTTGTCTAGAATTTTTCCGAAAAAGTCAACTCACTCAAAAAAGTTTTAAACCAGGCTTCGAACATTCCGGTCAAAAAGTTCCTCCGTTATGAAAGAACATTCAAACAAACAAACAGATATTATTACTTTACATATAGAGATACAGATATAAACAATATGTACTGATCACAGTGAACAGTGTATACAATGCAATAGATATGTATCTACACATTATCTTCTCTTTTCTTCAAAATTGAATCCCCCAACTAGCTCCGTACTTTCCCTTTCTTTCCCCCCTCCCTGCCCAAATCTCTCTTAAAAGAAAGTCTTGTTACTTAAATATAATTTTGAAATATTTGAAAAATTCTTCGGAGTAACCTAAATTCAAATCTAGGCTAAATTATTTTAAAGATAATAATTAAAATTAAAATTTATGTGTCTTAAAACCCCCCCCCCCCCCCCTCCTCCCCATAATTTTAATGCATTTCGATTACAACTTGATGAAATATTTGAGTTTCCACAAAAAAGGCTTTTAACATTTTTTAAATATCCGAACTTCTACAATGCTTTGATAGAAATGAATTGCCTGAAACTGAACAGCTTTGAAATATCAAGAAAAATACAAAAGTTGGCCCATAGGTCGAGCCTAGGTCACAGACTTGGCGACACATAAGCCCTTTTTAACCCAATAGTTCATAACTAAGAGAAAAAAAAATGTTTGGCTGTTAGTATCCAATGAACGTCAATACAATCATGCCAAAATCCGCCAATGAAACTTAAAAATAAGAAAAACTGTTCTTGTTATTTTTGAAAACGTACAAAAGGCTTGAAGAAATATGGATGCAAAGTTCTCAGTAAATATAGTTATAATAATAATGATAATAATAATTACAATAATAATAACAATATAATGATAATTTATGCAGAGGTTCCAGCAAGGAGAGGGCTCCTTGACTCCTTCTTTGCTCTCCGTGATGGAAGAGAAGGGTTTTCCTCCCATTCCTCCTCCTCCAGCTCCGCTGCTATGCAGCTGAAGGTAGAGATTAAACCTCACTAATAATTTAAAGTTATTTAACAATGGAATTTTTTTAATCTTCTGTCAATTTCCTTTATTGTCTCTTCTATATATATCGGCAAGTTACCTTTTTATAGAAAATAAAATTGTAAATTATCAGTTTTTGCTCAGACACGGGTTTCAAAACATAATTTTTAAGTAGATGGTCACTAGAAATCATTTCAACGTTCCCTTTATTAAATTGATGATTTGATTGAGGAGTTAGATCATCAAAGTAAGTTTTCTTGACATGTTGTATATTCTTGTTAAGATCTTTACCTTGTAAATGCACAAGGTTTATATATTTATCTGAAGCAAGATTTGTTTTGAAATGTTTTAATTCCTCAGCAGTAGGGAAAGGTTAGAATATAGCGCAAGATCATTGCTGTTGAGATGAGACGTAGATTTTGAAAGAACTTTCTCAAACAGAGGATAAAGAATGTCATAAATCTGTGCTTTTTTTAGAATGGAAAATTCAGCGTTGAACTTGATATCCAGGATTTTGATCCAGAGGACTTGGACATCAAGGTGGAGAATGGATTCATTCTGGTCACTGGTAAGCATGAAGTTCAACGTGGGAACAGTGTTAGTGTTCGACAATTTAACCAGCGATTCCCTGTTCCTCAAGGTATAGATATATCTCAGATGGGAACTGAAGTCACTATGGCTGGTAGGCTCATAATATCTGCTCCTAAGTTAAAGAATCAGGAGATGGAGATTGCCGAGAAAGGAGAGGTTGAATCAACTTCGTCTGCCGAAGCCAAGAAGGTTACTTCAGAAGCAGCCTTTGAAGTTGAAGGAGGAAAAGGATCAACTAAGACTGTGGAGGATTCTAAGAAGAAACAAGAACAAAAGTTGACGCGGAGGGAGACAGAGGATGGTTGGGAAGAGGAGATCATAGAAGAATACGAAGAAGAAGTAACAACAACATCATCCACCACAACTGTAGCATCTTCCGATGCAAGTGGAGTAAAAATGATCCCTATGATGATCCAAGGTGCTGCAGGAGGAACGCAAACAGTTGAAATGGCCTCTTCTCAGCAAAATATAAAAGCTAAAGATGGAAAAATAATTGAAATGCAGAAGACCTCAGACAAAAAAACGGAAACAAAGGAAATGGTCATTCCTATTCAGATTCAAGGCAGGCCAGCAATTGAACAAAAGGTAAAGACACCACGACCAAGGATGCTTCCTTTTGAATTTCCATCTCTGCCATCATTGTCCATGCCAAGTTTGGACATGCCTAGCATGGGAATGATGGACATGGGAATGCAAAACTTTAACATGCCAATGCACAGTGCATCAGACATGATGGCTCAAATGCAAGCCCAAATGCAGCAGCAAATGGCAAGCATGCAGCATGCCACCATGCAGCAGATGCAAATGCAGATGCAATCAGCAGGAACAATGCATCAACAGCAAATGGAAAAACAACAGGCAATGTCCTCTGTACATCAACAATCTTCTATCCAACAAACTCAACAACAAACAATGGAATCTGCTCAGGAAATGATGCACCAAGACTTTTTTGTCCCATTAAAGCAAATAAACAAAGTCAACAAAAATGCCTTATCTGAGGCCACTGCCATGGCTAAGATGAGGGATGGTATGTTTGAGCTGGTTGTAAACATCCAAGGGTTTGAGCCTGAAGATGTACAGGTCTTCTGTGTGGACCAAGCAGTTTTTGTTAAAGCAGAGCATAAGACCCATGAAGGATTTGTTTCCAACCGATATGAGCAGAAATTTAATATGCCTGATGATGTAGATATGATGAAACTAACCTCAGGTATGTCCAGAGATGGAATTCTAATGATTCGTGTTCCAAAAAGAGCCACTCCAGAAAGAATTATTCCCATTAAGAAAGAAGTGCAGATTGAGGCAGTGAAGAAAGCTCTAGCCCAGTGCATGCAATCTTCTTTTGAATTCACAGAATCCTCTGCACAAGAGATTCACACTGAGCTTCAAGAAAAGAATATTGTTCCAATGAATGTAGAAAAACCTGAAGATGCCATTAAAGCAGCATCTGCAGAGGTTATTGAGGCAATGACTATTGGCATATCTGAAGCGTTGGGTGCAGAAGCAGGTGAACTTGCTGGTGCAAAGGCAGGTTATGTGGCTGCACAACAATCTGTGGCACAAGCAGTAGAAGTTGCATTGATTGAAGCAATCACTCAGATTGGTATGGAGCTAGCAGGTGAAGCTGGTATTAAAGCAGCTCTTGCAGCTGCCTTAGATATTGGAAAAACTGTTGGAGCCAAGGTTGCTGGAGATTTAGGTGCAGAAATTGGATCTGAAGTTGGCCGTGTCGCAGGCGCACAGGCTGCTAGTATTGCTGGTGCTGAAGAATTGGCAAAAATGGATCTTTCGACTGTTACAGAAGAAAAGGCAGCAGAATTAAAACCTTTGTTTGAAGAAATTGGCCAAAAGGTTGGAGCATCAGCAGGAGAAAACTCTGGAAAAGATGCAGGTAGCAATATTGATCCTACTTTGCCTATTAAAGAAGCCCTTGCAGCTGCTATTCAAGCTGCAGAAAAGGCAGCCCTCCAGGTACGTGATTCAGTTGACAATGTCCTGGCAGATGTAGAAAGTCTAGGGGCTCTTGCAGGAGAAGAGTCAGGAAAAGAAGCAGGTGCAGTTGCAGGAGAATCTTTGGCTGTCAAGAAAGCTGTAGAATTAGCTACTTCAGCAGCTGTGGAAGTTGTCTTTTCTATACTTGGTGAAAAGGGTGCTGAGATGGGGAAAGCTGTATCAGCAAAAGTTGCTGAAGAGGTTGCAAGAAAGCTGGGTAAGGATCTTGGTGGAACAGCTGGTTTTGCAGCAGGAAGATTTGCTGGATCAAAGGCAGCCTTGGATGCTGCAAAAGCAGAGGTTGCCAAGGTTGATGTTGCCAAGCTTTCTCCATCAGAAGCAGAAGCTCTGAGAAACAAAATAAATGACTTGGCTAAAACTGTTGGGAGACAAGCTGGAGCTGTTGCAGGTAAGGAGGCAGGAGAAAATATTGATATCCAGGCAATCATAAGTGAAGCAGTTACTGAAGCAAAGAAAGCGGTTGAAGCTCAAGCTTTGGATATCAAGGCCTTTGAGACAATGAGTGCAGATGTTGCACAAGAAGCAGGACAGGCTGCAGGTGAACTATCTGGAACAGATGCTGGAGGAATAGCAGGAATGAAGGTTGCTGTTGATGCAGTTTTAGCTAAAACTATTGCAGCTGCTGAAAAACTTGGAGCAGATCTTTTTGGTGATGCAGGGGCTAAAATTGCAAAGGAAGTTGCAGAAGTCACTGCAAGACAGGCTGCAATGCAGTTAGGCCAAGAACTAGGACAAGCTGCAGGAAAAATTGCTGGCAAAGAAGCTGGGGCAGTTTCTGGTGCAGCTGTTGGCAAAGCTGAGGCTTCAAAGCATAATATTCTTGTTATGTCTACTGCACAAGTAGAAGAACTGAAAACTAAGCTGAAAGATATGGGTTCTCAGGCAGGAAAAGATTCTGGTGTAATTGCAGGAACGGAAGCAGGATCAAAGATTGATCTGAACCTTATAGAGGCTGAGGTGATGGCTGCAACTCTAAAAGCTGTAGAACAAGCTGTACAAATGTCAAAGGCATCTGAACAGGCAGCAGAAGTGGCACAGTTTGAAAAAATGGCCATTGAATGTGCAAGAGAGGCTGGAGAGAAATCCGGTGAAGAGTTTGCACTTGAAAACGCTTTTACTTTAGTTGATGACTTCATTAAGTTGAATGTGGACAAGGTTGCTGAAGAATCAGGCAAAGCCAAGGGTGCTGAAATTTTTGGAGACTTTGGTGGAACTATAGGCGCAGAAGCAGGTTTGTCTGCAGGAAGAAAAACTGGTCTTGAAATGGCCAGAAAGATGATTGCTGAACTGGTTGCCTCTGAAGGGAAATTGGTTGGTGGACAAGCTGGCGAAAAGGCGGGACAAGCAGAATTTGGTAAGCTAACTCTCAAGGAGATGCCTAAAGAAAAGGTTGCTTTACTCAGAAATTTGTTTATTGAAGTTGGAAAGAAGGCGGGAAAAGAAGCCAGCATCAGTATTTCTCAATCTGTCATGAAGAAAATAAACATGGAGGCATTATTAGCAGCTGTAAAGTCAGCCTCATCTGAAGCAGGAGAAAAATATGCTGTCAAAGCCAGAGAATTCCAAAGACTTGCCACAAAGATTGCAGAGGAGGCTGGTGGTAGGACCGGTGAAGAAATTGGGGAGGAAATTGGTGCTATGACTGGTGAAGAAGCTGGTGGTGTTGCTGGTGAAAGGGTTGGACGTGAGGCTGGTCAGAAGGCAGGCCAGGAGATTGCTGGAGAAGATGGTGGAAAGATTGGAGCAGAAGCTGGTGCAAAGGCTGGAAAGAAGTTTGGATTGAAGGTAGGAAGAGAAGCAGGCCTCAAAGCAGGTCTGGAGGTTGGAAGACTTGAAGGAAGAAAAGCTGGAGGAGCTGCAGGAGCAATTGAGGCTTTAAAACATTTCCAGATTGGAATAACCAAGGATAGAGTGGCAGCCTTGAAGAAGCTGTTTGCTGAAGTAGGATCTTCGGCAGGTGGTGATGCAGCTAGAAAAGTTGTTGCTGCTGCAGCAGCTAAGAGAGGTGAAGAGGAGGGTTCCAAGTTTGCTCTTGAGCAAGGTAAGAAAGCTGGGTTAGCAGCTGCCAGAAAATTGAAGGATGCTGATGATAAGATAATTAGTGAAGAAGGTGCTGCAGTTGGTGAACAAGCTGGAGGAGAGGCAGGAGAAAAGGCTGGAGAAGCAGAAGGAGAGAAGGCTGGTGGTGATGAAGCAGGGCGAGTAGGAGGAGATGAAGGAGAAAGAATTGGACGTGAAATTGCAGGAGAAGAGGTAACAAAAAAAAATTTAACTAAATTATCAGCTTTGCTTTTTTCCTTTCCTGTCTTCTCTGTGGACTTCCCTTTTTGTCAAAATAAATTACTCCCACAAAAATTTAAGCCTAATGATAATCCAAACTGTTTCAGTTCTGATTAAATTTGTATTTAACATGTTCTGCCTTGCCATACAAAAGTATTTTTAAAAACATTAAATTTTTTTCTTCCAGGGGGCAAAGCTAGGACGAGAAATTGGTGCAGAGGTGGCAAGGTTGGCTGGAATGAAAATGGGAAGAAAGTTAGGAAAAACCATTGGGGCTAAAGTTGGACGAACAGCAGGCAAAGCTGCAGGCATTCAACATGCCTCTCTCATAGCTCTTGAAATTTCAAGAGAGAAGGTGACAGCAATGAGGAAGATGTTTGCTGAAATTGCAGCAATATCTGGTGCAAGTGCTGCTGTAAAGGCTGCCAGAGCTGAGGTTATGAAAGCTGTTCAAGACATTGCAGTCCGAGCTGCTGTTAAGGCTGTAAGAGAAAAACTTCTGGCAATGGCATCTCAAAGAAAATTACAGCTGAGCAACTCATGGAAACCAACAGCACTCATTGCAGTCATCAATGCAAGATCTGATCTGTCAGATATGGACAAGATTAAACTTGCCGCCAAGGCCAAGATGGAGGGCAATCTTGGAGATCTCCTACCTCAGAGATTTGCTGCTGCTGGAAGCCTCAGAGATAAAGATGACCAGCTGGCGGGAAAACTGAAGTTTCAGGATACAAACACCACTGAGAATACTGAAAACGTGGACAATACAGAAAAATGGAAAACTGTGGTTTTCTCAAATCTTCCAGATGATCCATCAAAGAAAGAACGAGACATGTCAAAAGAAAAAGTTTCATCACTCAAGCAACGATTTGAAACAAAGAATATGAAGAATAATGAAGCATATGTAATTATGTAATCATGTAATTAAGTAATTATACACAGAGCTATTATAAAAGAAGCGGAAGCACAAAAATTGCAGACCACATTTTGGAAATCAAAAATACTTATTAATCTATAGGCTACCAGCTGAATGCCGCAAACTTATATTTCAAAGGTCAAAGACGACTTTCAGTCTTTTCTCAATTGTTAAGAAATTCTGCTTCTTTTAGATTAACACTGAACATGTACATATTATCAACTCTCTAATTTCTGCCTGTACATATATATTTTTAACAAACAGAACTATAAGTAGTATTTATTAAAAAAATAATGTATTTATATTAAATCGATAAATAATGTTTAATAAATTAGTTTTTATGATTAAAACTAAATTTCTCTTAATGGTCCAAGTTTATTCCACATCTCTTAAAAATACTAATGTAATAAATATAGAATATATATATATTTCTCATGCTATAGGTAAACTAATTTATAATTGACAATTTGAAGAAAAAATTAGGTCTAAAAAAATCAACAACAATGACCATAAGAAATTCAAAGTGATTAAAACTATAGCTTATGAAAAGGATTGTAAGCGTTATATCAAGTGACCCTCAATACAAGTTGCTATGCCCTATCCACAACTGTACCCTGGGGAAGAAATTGTCGTTTTTCTAGGCTTAAAAGTTTTCAATTCTGATAATAATTCTCCATATATTCCTGCAAAAGAAATGCGTAGTTCACTTTGGAGAGAACCCAGAATTGAAAATAATCGGTTTCCAAAATTATAAACATGGTAGCCTAATTCATATTTACCTGCACACAAAGCTTTTAAGGAGGTACTGTTGTGAATTGGGTGCTGTCCTCTTTAAACAGAGGGTCACTTGAATTTACGCTTACAGTCCCTTTAACAAAATAATAAAATCTGTAAAATCATTCAATGCAGTTCATCATGGGTGACTTGGCACTTCTTATTCCTCCTTAAACCTTCATTGCTTTCATGATGATGTCTCGGACCCTGGAACCTACATCTTCCTTATCCATCACCGATCCTTTAAATAGAGATGGGCATCATTTTTATGAACAAACTTAATATTTCAAAGCGAACGAAATATTTCAAAAAGAAAGAATTTTTTTAAAAACGATGGTGTCGTTTTAAAATGTAGCGAAGGATAAACGAACACATTGTATTGTTCAAAGAAATAAAAAAAACTATCGTTTTTTCTCAAAACAAAACAATGGATTTTTTGGACGAGCAATTTTACTGAACAATCTATCTCACTGAAAAAAAGCATAATAGAGGGAAAAGGAACAATAATTCTGAAAACGAACGAATTCAGATTGTTAATGAACGACTAAAAAAACGAAATGGCTTGTGAACGAACGATGAAAGAACGACTGAAAACAACCAAATGGCTCTCAAACGAACGATGAAAAAACGAAAAAAGAAGAAAAAACGTGTCCATCTCTACCTTTCTCCACTTGGTTGAACTTTGCCACTGCTGCCACCTTGGCACGCCCAGGGAAGAATTTACCCAAAATCTTGCTTTCAACTGCCTTGGTGCCTATACACAATGCAAAGGGATTTTTAAAAATTTAAAACGTGAAAATTTTTATTCTATAGTTGAAAACGAAAAAAAGCATTTTTTAGTTACAAATATAAGGTCGACCCAATTGGGATAAGTTGAAACATTTCTTTTCAAAGCTTGTTTTCAAAAGAACCGTCGTGAAACGCTGAAAACGAAATAATCTAATTGATTTTCCGAAGCTGGGAACTAAAAGCATTCCATATTGACCAATTTTTAAACATTTTTTCAAAACATTTTAATTTTCTCCAACAATTTTAAAATCTGATTAAATTTTAAACTCAGGCCGGCAATACCTTTGGTATCAGAGTTTCTAGACGTTTATTCTAAACTCCAACTTTCCCTTTAATATAAAAAACCTTTTTTTTCAATCATAAAATCAAACGCTGAAAAAACACTGAAATTGAGTACATAATTGATAATTCCCAATATTGCAAACATTCATACAGAGAAATAAAATAACTAACCAACATTTCCTAGCATCAGAGGATAAAAATGTCATTAATTATCTCAGCATTGTTATCAAAATAAAAGATGAGATAAGTATTGACATTTAAAAACAAAAAATAATTCAGATCGTCATTAAATTCTCATCCGTTATGGTTAACTCTGTCATAAAAAGAAGAGACGGTTACCTTGTTGAGACTGAACTACGGGAGCAGAAACAGTTTTCTTTGAAACATGACCGGTCCCATGACCCTCTAAAATTAAGAGCAATAAGTGTACAGAAGTTGAAGCTTACACCAATTTCTTTAAAATGAATTGTTATTGTGATTTTCAGTTTACTAGCTTAATAGTTGTTTAATTCTAACAAGTTCCTTCCTTGTGTTTTCAGAAGAAATCCGCCATAGTCTCTTTTCTTAAGAACCAAAGAGAATAGAATATATGTTAGAGTGGAATTTAAAGAATCTCTCGGTATGAATTTTGTTCACAAATTATATGCAGTAGAGTACATTAATAAAGTATGTTCCCTAGACTATCCATTTCAATTTCGATTTTTTTAAAGCTGTTAAATAAACTATATAAAATAAATTCGGTGAATATAAAACATGATTTGATTTAAAGTTATAATGGAAAATCATCGTTTGTAAAGTGGAAGGTATAGAGTCTATGTGAAATGATCATTGGTCAATTATGAAACCAGCCTATTTCATAATTTGGTTTTCTTTTAATTTTAGATTTTCTATAAAATGATGTTCTAGGGCCCAAAAGCTCAACCATTCTTGATCAGACTTATTATCTTATTATCTTATATTTATCTTACATCTTATATTTATCTTATATCTTATATTTATCTTATATCATATATATTTACTGCTCTGTGTTTATCTATAAAGATAGCTGTAATAGCTTACATGCTAGTATTAGCTCTGTATATATCCATATATAAATATATATATATATATATATATATATATATATATATATATATATATAGCTAGTATAAAGCTGCTCTGAATATATCCAAATATAGATATTCACCTGTTAGTATAAAGCTGCTCTGAATATATCCATATATAGATATTCACCTGCTAGTATAAAACTGCTCTGTATATATCCATAAAGACGTTTCTGCACAAACTCGGATTTAAGTTCATCGAAGCTGAAAACATTCTGAAAAATTTAAAACTTCAAATTTTGTTGAATCTATACTTTTCTTTTGTATACAATTTAAGGATTGTGAAGTTTGGAATTTTACTAAAAAAAATTTAAATTTTGTTGAAACATAAATTAACGTTGAGCTACAGGCATTTAAAATTAAATATAATACGTGGACCCTTTTATCGAGATGAAAACTAATTTTAAAAATTCTTCATTTACCTTCTCTCCGTAAACCTTAAGCAGGGAAACCAAAGCTTCGTAGTAAACAAACCTAGATTTTATAATAATAATATAATAATGATAATATAATAACAATTTATTAAAAGAATATTATTATTACTATTCCAAATTTAAACAATTTTTAAATCTTTGATTTTTTTTCTCGCGAAATGATTGCATGTTTATATTTTTCTCACAAAATTCCGCATATTGGCACGTTGTATAATGACATTTTGTTTTTTGAAAATGTATTGCGGCATTTGTGTCAGCATTAGATGATTATTAAAAAAATATTTGTGTTTCCAAAATGTAGACTATGATTTCATGTTCTGTGGAACACTCTGTACTAAAAACAGGTTACCTAAGAAGGAAGTCCTCTCTAGCTGTATTGTTTCCAGATGAGTTAATGAATAGATGAATATCATTCACTCCAGAACCATATCTACACTTCTCCAGGTTCACAAACTTTAAATAATATTAATTAATGAATTAACAATATCATTCACTTTAAAAAATAATGATGAATTATTGAATAGATGAATATCATTCACTTTAAACAATAATATAATTAATTAATGAATTAATGAATATTATTGACTCCAGAACCATATCTACACTTCTTAAGGTTGACAAATTTTAAACAAAAATAATAAATTAATGAAATAATGAATATACGAATATCATTCACTTTAAACAATAATAATGAATTAATGAACAGATGAATATCATTCACTCCAGAACCATATCTACACTTCTCCAGGTTCACAAAGTTTAAACAATGATAATGAATTAATAAATAGATGAATATAATTTACTTTAAACAATAATAATGAATTAATGAAAACATGAATATATAAATATCATTCACTCCAAAACCATATCTAAACTTCTCAGTGTTGACAAACTTTAATCAATAATAATGAATTAATGAATTGATGAATAGATGAATATATAAAATTCACTCCAGAATCATATCTAAACTTCTCAATGTTCACAAACTTTAAACAATGGTAATTAAATGGATAGTTGAATATCATTCACTTTAAACAGTAATAAAGAATGAATTAATTAATGAATTAATAATATCATTCACTTTAAAAAATAATAATGAATTATTAAATATATGAATATCATTCACTTTTAACAATAATAATTAATTAATGAATTAATGAATATTATTCACTCCAGAACCATATCCACACTTCTCCAGGTTCACAAACTTTAAACAATGATAATGAATTAATGAATAGATGAATGTCATTCACTTTAAAAATGATAATGAATTAATGAAATGATGAATTGATGAATTAATGAGTATCATTCACTCCAGAACCATATCTAAACTTAACTCAAGGTTCACAAACTTTAAATATTAATAGTGAATTAATGAATAGATGAATAAAACTATCGTTTTTCAAAACGATCGCTTTTCAAAACGATCGTTTTTTTACCGAAAAACTATCGTTTTTAAAAACACTTTTTAAAACAATATTTTTTTAACTATCGTTTTTCAAAACGATCGATTCGTTTTTCGTTTGTTCTTCGTCGTTTTTAAAAAGTTACAATCGTTTTTTTAAATTGGAAGCGATTTAACTTAGTTACTAGTAAAACTTTTTTGCTTTGTAACTCTATCAGATACACTTAAGTATTGCTATAATGTCGTCTTCCTATTCCATAGTTTTCTGGTTCTCACTGTAACAAGCTATATTTTTTAACGCACACATGATTCATATATCCTAAAAATGTTAAGAGCACATTTTCAGAGAACAGTTACAAAATACAAAATTTTAGCGACATTTTTTATTGTAATACTTGATAAAGACGACCGTTGTTCAGTTTTATACTGGTCATATTATATACAGGGTTACCCACAAGGGATGAGACTTCAGAGACGACTGTACGGAATTAACACTATCTGTTTCCTTATATTAAGGATTGCCTGCAACTGTAAATTTGATTTTTCCCTTGCTAAATCATAAAAAAATGTCATATATATTTTTGACAAAATACTTAATTTAACCTTGAAATCATCATGTTTTACAGTTTCATCTTTGTGGGTACTATGTAATATGTATCTGATCAGCTGTTTTCGAAGAAAATTGTTTCTTGCATTTCTGAATGTCTAAAATGTAATAAACTACTAGCTGAAGTGCCCGGCGTTGACCGTCAAAAAAATTGAAAGAAAATTCTTTAAAATTTTTTAGCCTATATTACCACCCGGGATTCCCGTAGGTTCCCTCAAAAAAATCAGTCCATTCGGTCCAGCCGTTTGGCCGGCTATAGGGAACATATATGAGAATGTCTTGTTTTATTTATTAGTTATAGCAGTAAATATAATTGTTCACATTTCATGATAAATGAAAGAATTAAGATTAGTCCCATCTAAAGTAAGCCCCATCAAACTCTGGGATAAGAAAACGAATTTTGGGATTTACAGAGTTCATAGAACATCAAACACGGCAATGTGCAGTGTAAACAGACACATTACACTTGATAAGTGGTTTAGTAAGTAACTAGGAAAACTATTTGCTTTATAAAAACATCAAATCCACTAAACTATTGCTTAAATATCGTCATACTATTCAACAGTTACTGCTTCCATTAAAGTTGTTATAGGTATTTCGCAAGGGCGACTTCCCAAGTAACAATTTCCCAAGTGACAACTTCCAAAAGTTTAGGTTAGACCCTCTGAGGCGCCGCAGGCTGCAACGAGGGGCGAGCGATGAAGCTAACTCGGGCTAGGGGGCCGAGCGCTGTAGCTAGAACAGGTCAGGAGCCGAGCGCTGCTGCTAGGACAGAATTGGAGAGTTGCCACTTAGGACATTGCCCAGTTGGGAAAATACGCTTGGGAAAATGCCTTTGGGAAAAACCTAACATATAATTACCCTGGCATCAATAGGGAGACCATCAGCAGCATACTTGAACTTGATGTTGGCTGGGGTAGGTTCTCCATGGCAGAGAACAGGTAGTAAACTAAAGGAGAACCAGATATATATAATGTTTGGAACTCTTTTACTGTGGATATCGAGATCAATGTTTGATCTCTTCTTTTTATTAATCTCAAGATTAATTTACTCTTTATTCGATAATCCTCAGGGTCATCGTACCCAGTAAGAGGGTAGCTTTGATCAGGAGAGGAATAACTAAAATGAAGATATGGAAACTGGTTTAGTTTTGTATACCTCTAATCCTGGAATTAAAAGTGCCCATAGATCAATTGATCGGGATTCAAGTCTCAAAACAAAAGTTCCCAGCTCAGAGGTTTAAACTTTTATGTTAAAAATACTTGGATTGAGTGTGCGTTACTATACGAATTGAAATGAATTCCTGTTCCCTAAAGGAATAACTTTAGGGAACAGGAATTATAATTTATGGATCTGTACTTATATAGCTTTGCTTGCAGCAGATCAACGCTTTTTCACGCAAAAGTGTTGGCCTCAAGGTATATGCCATTGGAGTGCAGGGATTGAGCTCGTCTGAGAAGTTGATTAATTGCATTTTCTGAACAATAGGATTGGAAACCAACTATACTAGATTTAGATATTCAGATTGTTCTTAATAATAAGGTAAGGATTTCTTTTGGCAGTGCACCCATTAAAAGGATCATGTGTAAATGAACTTATTTTGAAATTATTGAACAACTTTCGTTTTCAATATTGGGAACACTTCCTTTCAATATTGGGAACACTTCCTTTTCAATATTGGGGAACACGTCCTTACAATATTGGGGAACACTTTCTTTCAATATTGGGGAACACATCCTTTAAATATTGGGGAACACTTCCTTTCAACATTGGGGAACACTGCTTTTCAATATTGGGGAACACTTTCTTTCAATATTGGGGAACACTTCCTTTCAATATTGGGGAACACTTCCTTTTCAAAATTGGGAAACACTTGCTTTCAATCTTGGGGAACACTTCCTTTCAATATTGGGGAACACTTCCTTTCAATATTGGTGAACACTTCCTTTCAATATTGGGGAACACTTCCTTTTCAAAATTGGGAAACACTTGCTTTCAATATTGGGGAACACTTCCTTTCAATATTGGGGAACACTTCCTTTTCAATAGTTGGGAACACTTCCTTTTAAGATTGGGGAACACTTCCTTTTCAATATTGAGGAACACTTCCTTTTCAATATTGGGGAACACTTCCTTTCAATATTGGTGAACACTTCCTTTCAATATTGGGGAACACTTCCTTTCACTATTGTGGAACAAATCCTTGAAAAGATTGGATGAAGTTGGACCTGTTGCTAGTGGCGGCCTCCTTGTATATATTGTAGAGGCTGTTCTTCAATGTTTTCACCATCTTTATCTCCTCCTCACTACATCCCTCCTATACAGTAGATGAAGTCAATGCTAAAAGTACTGTACACGTAATTCAATTGACATTCTTTATCGGATTAAACTAGAAAACAACGCTTTTCCTCCTAAAGTCGCTTTGTTTCTTTGATTGCTAATTAAATTCGCAAAGCAACTTTCACGGAGAGCAGAAATAAAAAATTCTTTTTTGAGATTGAAAATCAGGGATAACTATAAACTTTTTCAGGTGAATCATACACGTAAAATGAAGGGTCACTTAAAGGGTTACACGCTACAGTATAAGGTTAATTGGAAAAATGCAACCTTTGAGAAGCATTCAATCTTAAAAAAAATTATGCAAATGTTGTTTTTATTTAGGTTTAAATTGAGGCGATAAAATTTTTCAGAAAGTAGCTTAAAGGGTGTGATCGCGTAAACATAGTGGTAACATGTGTACAGAGATATAAATAAATTTATATTACAAGTGTACACATTGTACAAAGATTTAAATAATTCATACATTATTATTTTGTATTTTGTGTTTGAAAAAAAATACCATAACTATAACTATATTATGTATACACGTTTATAGAGCGATATAAAATTTATTAAAGTTTATATTAGATGTATTCATAGATATAAGTAAATAATTTAAATTACATATCGGGATTTAAAATAGCAGGGATATAAATATATTTATATTTACCGCTGCTAGGGTTGTCAAAACCCGATCCAATCTATTCTCCAGCAATTTAGTCGTCGTAGCTCTATACATGAAAAATATCAAGATTTTTCATTTTTCACTTTTGGAAATTATGCAATTTTTCTAACTTAATCCTAATATAAATAGGGCCTCCCAAATAGATTCTAGTACAATAGATGGCAACAAGGAATTTGTACACTCTCAGTACAGTTGTATTCTGTCGTCACGAGTGTCAATTCAGTTTTTTTGTCCGACACAATCATCAATAATAGTGATAATTTTAGAATAAAGTGCTTTTCTTACAATAAAATAAGTGCAATTTAATGTGTTCTTTAGTTTCTGTTTTTACACTTTTTTATTTAATCTTGGAAAACATGTCAACTAATGTCAGAAAATTTCGCTTTCCTTGTAATATTTGACACTTGTGACGTCGTGTATAATTGGTTAATTTCTCTGTTGCCACCTATTGTACTTGATAATCTTTTTGGGGCCTCCCAGTAAGCATATCAGCTGAGGACGACTTAAATGTCGTCTTCGATCGATAGCTAAGCAAATGTTTATAAAAATGGACGATTTATAAGTCTGTCCAGGGTGCTGGGCATGAATTCCAACTTTTTCTAGCCGTTTCGTTAAGTTAAAACGGTTTGTTCCAACCCTTCAAAAATAAAATTTCAGATAGCTGTTAATTTTCAAGGAAAGAACGGAACTTTCGTTTTTTGAAATTTTGATTATCCATAAATCTTCCCTGGATCAGGTGAGGTCCCACACAAAATTTGGGGCCAATCGGTTCAGCAGTTTTTACGTTTATTGGACACAAACAGACAGACAGACAGACAGACAAGCAAAGTATGTAATAGATAATGATATATATTCTGTTGAGACTTGCTATCCTTTTTTGCTATTCTGAAAACAGGATTTTGTCAATAATCAGACATGAAACAATTTATTCCATTTCTAATAGTTTGAAGTCAATTCAAGTACAACAACTTGTCAAGATTTTTACTCATTGAGATTTAATATTATTTATATTTAACCCTATTCCTGCTGGGGGGGGGATCAAATCGACCCCCCCCCCCCTATGATTAAATATTATTTATATTTAATCGTTTGGAATTGATAATCATAGTGATTTTTAATAAAATTGTCACTCTAACCCCTTCCGAGTTTAGGGGAGGTCAAACTTTATTTAATCATATCAAAATTATCAAGAGGTCTTCGAGTCGTCTCAAAAATGTTATTTGTTTTGTGAAAACATCTGGAAAGTGTAGATTTTTAAAGGCTTTAAAGCACTGAAAACTCATTTATAATACCGGGTTGACTTATATGAAGCTACAAAACAAGTTGTATAGTAAACCAACAGAATGTAGCTGGCAAAAGGCTACAGCCAAAAAAAAATACCCCCCCCCCCCCCCAAGCTGCAGGGTTACCCACAAAGGAAGAGACTTCAGAAATGACTGCACGGAATTAAAATTTTCGTTTTCCATATATCCATGTGATTCCCTGCAACTGCAAAATTGGCTCTTTCATTACAGAGAATTTAAAAACCATTAAAATACTACGTTTGAAGAATCGTCACGTTTTATAAGTTTCTGGTCGTCTTTACAGTCGTATTCGGTGTAGATAATCCTGTATATTTCTTGTCACCTCATTATTAATTAATGTGAAAATCAACAAATCGATTTACTAAATCACCATATTTGGGGGGACACCTAGCTCTTTTCTACAGTGAAGACGACTTTTAAAAATAATTGATCACCAACAAGCATTTTCAAGTTACAAGTCAATAAAGCTGTTAATTGACAACTACATCTTGTTTACATGTTTAAGCGACTATGCAATAAAACTTGAAATAGACCGTCTTCATCATTGTATTAATATATACGACGACGATATTAACCTGTTTTCTTCTGTGAAAGCGGAATCACTGAGGAGTGCCTTGGAGTTTTCATCATTACTTCTAAATATATAAAAAAAAAGTTCAAAATTCAATGCTGTTTAAGTCAAAATTTATAAGTTTTAAATTTGAGAGTTGTGACTTCTCGTATTTTATCTTTAAATTGTTCCATGCTTTCGCAATCATCAGGATATGCATTTTATATATATAACGTATTTTATCTTCAAGTATATGCATGTTTATACATCACGTATTTTATATTCAAGTATGTGCATGTTTATATATTACGTATTTTATCTTCAAGTATATGCATGTTTATATATTACGTATTTTATTTTCAAGTACATGCATGTTTATATGTTACGTATTTTGCGTTCTAGTAAAAAAAAACTCTTAAAGAATGCAGATTGTGTTAATACTGACTGCAGGTTTAAATATGTTGACGATCTAACTATACTTGAACTTCTCTATTTATCCAACCTTTCAACTGGAATATCCTCATATAACAATAAGCTGCATGTTGCATCAGATATTGGTATTGATAATATTTTTATCCCTCCGACCAACCTTCACACTCAGATATGTATTAACACAATATCAGACTGGACTGAACAGAACAAAATGATGCTTAATTGTGAGAAATCCAACTATATGCTATTCACCAGATCTAAATCCAACTATATGCTATTCACCAGATCTAAATCCAACTAAATGCTATTCACCAGATCTAAATCCAACTATATGCTATTCACCAGATCTAAATCCAACTATATGCTATTCACCAGATCTAAATCCAACTTTAGTACCAGACTGAAACTTAATAGCTCTAACCTCCAAAGAGTCGAATCAATGAAGTTACTTGGAGGCTGGATAACTGAAAACCTATATTGGGAGACTAATACAAGAGAAATATGCAAAAAAAAAGTTATGCCCGATTATCCCTACTCTGTAAACTCAAGCTTATTGGAGTTTACATTTCGTATATACGTAGTATTCTTGAGTACTGTTGTGTAGTATGGAGTTCCTCTTTAACCATAGCACAGGATGAGGCCCTAGAAAGGGTTCAGAAGGTGTCTCTAAAGGTTATTCTAGGCCCAGTATATGTTAATTATCAATCTGCTCTATCAGTTCTGGAACTAGAAACCTTAAGGATTAGGAGAGAGAAACTTTGTTTATCCTTTGCTAAAAAATGTCTAAAATCTCAAAGGCATTCTGCCCTATTCCCGGTAGAACCAGTCACTCACAACCACCAGCTACGGAACGCTGAACTGCTTACTGTCAACTATGCTAGAACGGAGAAATACAGAAAATCTGCTATTCCCTATATGCAGAGAAAATTAAACTTCCTATGATATAACCTTATCTTAATCTGTGATAAAACCCATGATATATTCAATTATATTCTTATGAGAATGTTAATCATATTATAATATGTATTATGATCTTGATTTATCTCTAATAAATCTTACTTACTTACTTACTTACTTACTCTTAAAGAAAATACATGGAAAAATCATGCATAAGCATACAATCTAACTAAATATGTATGCTTGTCGGGAAACCCTGCAACAGTGTACTACAGTGAACACACATTAGATCTTTGTTGTATACAACCTGTACACTATTACGTACATTGTACATACAGTCGTCGTCGCAAATATCAATACAACGAAGTCCCCTTTTTATTTCAATTTTTTTGCTTGTCAAGCTTTCAACAACATGGATACATGAAAACAAAGAGAAGGTGTCAATTAATAGATTCTCTTCCGGCCTTTAGTTGTAGACTTAGAAGTCAAAACTTAAATAGAAAAGTCGTCTTCATTGTATTAATATAAACACTGACCACTGTACATGAGATGTACCTCTTGAAGAAGATGAAGCTGATGGCGTGAAGCCTCGCCAGGGACTTCATCACAACTTTAAGATGAACCTCGTCCAATTTCCTAAAGAAAAAAATCTAGTTTTTTGAAAATTTGATTTTCAAAAATAAATGTGAAGTGTCTCAACTGTTACATAAACATATCAAAAGTAACAAAAAATGAACTAAACACGAACCTTTTCAATAACAAATTTTCATTGAAAAATCAGTATTTATTATTGAATAGTTCTTAATTAGAACGATCAATGAGGCATTAAGGGCCTGTCCTCGATATTTCGAATGACCCTCCATTTAAAAAAAGGCATGCATTCCTGACTCACAAAGGCACCCTTAAACAGATCAATAATGAAGAACATATCGTCATTTTTAAACTTAAAAAGTTAATTCTGATAATATTTCCATTGTATCTGAAGCAAGGAATGCGCAAATCTCTTTTACACAGAAGCTGAGATAAAAATAAATAGTTTTAAAAAACGTTAATTTATAATTCAAACTTGATCATACATCGCTTTAAAGGGTACCGTTGCTACTCAGCTACTGGAGGGTAACTTGAAAATACGTTTAAAATCCCTTTAAATAAAACCTTTTCAAATTATTGAAACTTATTGAGTGTAGGATAGAAATTAGTCTTTTAAAGAATAAAAAGAATTTTCTAATTTACGTCTCATGTTTAGTGGGTCCCCCTGTACCTGTCCGAAGGAAGAGATGTGTACAAAGGATCATTGTCAAAAACAGTCATCTTAAATATTTTAAATTTTACACTTTTCAGTGAAAATTGATTTAAAAATTGTACAATTTAAAATAAGCAAAATCTTTCCTTAAAATTTATAATTTTTGGCAAAAATCAACATGCTCAAACAGTGGTCTGCATTTTTTCAAATTACAAAATTTTAAAGTAAACAAAGATAATCTGTTAATTGACAAAACTACCCTTTGTTTGCATGTTTAAGTTTAAATTGCAAATTCGAAAAAAATTCGTCTTCATTGTAATGATGTATACGACGACAACTGTACATAAATCAAATTTTTAATGGCTGACATGTTTATTATAAAACTTGCTTAAAAAAGAATTCTCTAAATTATTTTTCTTATTAGTCAAACAGTTTTAAAGTGATTATTTCGAAAAAGAATTGAAAAAAGTTTAAAACTTAATATTCCTTGTTATCCGAGAATATAAGAGGGAAAAATGGCAACTTATGCTCCGCCTTAGTCACCCCAACAGTACTAAAAATATGAAAATTAAAACATACATCATTTTTTTCAGAAATTGTTATATACATGTGAATTTTGAGAAGAAAAAAGTTTTATCATTACCCTACAACAAGCTTTTTGAATCCCTATATCTTTGCAACCCAATTGCAGAGGCCTTAAAAAGTTCAAACTATGAATTCTGTAATATCAAATAGAAATATCAAAGGTTTACACCATCAGGTTGCAAAGAAATTAGGATTATAAAATTTAAGTTTGTGGCAAAGACTTAAAATAACCCGGAGTTTTCTATATCAGGGTTTGCATTTTAAGAGTAAAACTAGCTCCAAGATAGAGTAAAACTAGCTCCCAAGATAGAGTAAAACTAGCTCCAAGATAGAGTAAAACTAGCTCCAAGATAGAGTAAAACTAGCTCCAAAATAGAGTAAAACTAGCTCCAAGATAGAGTTAATACATTTTTATTTTTGGAAATATTTAGTAAATGGTAATTATTGTTCAGTTGTTTAGTTTGTTTAATATTGCCTATTCTTATCTAAAAGTTTAATGTGTACGTTCTTAATGTAATGATGCATTTTTCATTATCTCTCCTTCAATGTAAGAGATGTTTTTTGTGAAAATTTATATAATTTAGAAAATGTAGAATTCTCATGGCAAAGCTTGATCGAGATCTTTTTTAATCTGCAGATTAATTTAATCTTTAATCGATATCCCGCATAAATCGTGTAGTAAATGCCTACTCCATAACAGTTTCTGGGAACGTATCTATCCAGGTACAACTCAGATTCTCTTGACTATCAATGTCAATCAAAGGGCATGATCCTCAACCTGTTTATCAAAACAGGGAACCACGCGAATACAATCCGTGATCTATCAACTCCACTACCACTGGGCGCGATCTCGTTAGCTACAAATTTTGGAAAAAACTATGAATCCATCCCAAAATTCTTATTTCTGATAAGTTGTCAATACTTTAATCAAACAAAAAAATTAAATATTTGAATTTAAAGATAAAAAATTTATTTACCTCATTATTTTTGCTGCAAGATCACTTCGCACCAAAACATCCTAAATATTCTTTTTTAATGGGATTGTTCATGAATTTGAATAGGTTTAATATAAACCAACTAAATAGTTTTGCGTTGTTCAATTCTGAAGTCTAATATATTCTAAATTCTATGTCCTTAATTTACTTATTATCACCATTTTTACATTTAAACCATTAGAGTACACAAGATAAGGATAACTTGCAAGGTTCGTTTTTGATTCGATTTTAAGGGTTTTTGGAATTTTAAAATGTTCCACAAAATCTGAGAAGTTTTTTTAAATTACAGAAACGTCAAATCTAAACATTTGCTCTTCTTACCCTGCATAGACTCTGAGAAAAATATGAACCAAAAAATATCGTTTCACACTCTTATATTTACGTTTCAGATACAAAATACTGCAAAGTTTATTAAAGCACACTTTATAGAAAACAGTTTTGAAATATTGTAATTTTTATAAAAAGTTTTTAAAATCAAACAAAGTTATGTCCCATCGCCATAACTTGGTCAACAACACATAAGTTATGTTCATTGTCTGCCTTAGCATCTGCATCAGCTGATTTCTGTTCATTGTCTACCTTAGATTATGCATCAGCTGATTTCTGTTCATTGTCTACCTTAGATTATGCATCAGCTGATTTCTGTTCATTGTTTACCTTAGATTCTGCCTCAGCTGATTTCTGTTCATTGTCTACCTTAGATTCTGCATCAGCTGATTTCTATTCATTGTCTACCTTAGATTCTGCATCAGCTGATTTCTGTGCATTGTCTGCCTTAGCATCTGCATCAGCTGATTTCTGTTCATTGTCTACCTTAGATTATGCATCAGCTGATTTCTGTTCATTGTCTACCTTAGATTATGCATCAGCTGATTTCTGTTCATTGTCTACCTTAGATTCTGCATCAGCTGATTTCTGTGCATTGTCTATCTTAGAATCCGCATCAGCTGATTTCTGTTCATTATCTACCTTAGATTATGCATTAGCTGATTTCTGTTCATTGTCTACCTTAGATTCTGCATCAGCTGATTTTTGTGCATTGTCTACCTTAGATTATGCATCAGCTGATTTCTGTTCATTGTCTACCTTAGAATCCGCATTAGCTGATTTCTGTTCATTGTTTACCTTAGATTATGCATCAGCTGATTTCTGTTCATTGTCTACCTTAGAATCCGCATCGGCTGATTTCTGTTCATTGTCTGCCTTAGATTATGCATCAGCTGATTTCTGTTCATTGTCTACCTTAGATTCTGCATCAGCTGATTTCTGTTCATTGTCTACGCCTTAGATTATGCATCAGCTGATTTCTGTTCATTGTCTACCTTAGATTCTGCATCAGCTGATTTCTGTTCATTGTCTACCTTAGATTCTGCATCAGCTGATTTCTGTTCATTGTCTACGTTAGAATCCGCATCAGCTGATTTCTGTTCATTGTCTACCTTAGATTATGCATTAGCTGATTTCTGTTTATTGTCTACCTTAGATTATGCATCAGCTGATTTCCGATCATTGTCTACCTTAGATTCTGCAGCAGCATATTTCTGTTAATAGTTAACCTTAGATTCTACATCAGCTGATTTCTGTTCATTGACTACCTTAGATTATGCATTAGCTAATTTCTGTTCATTGTCTACCTTAGATTCTGCATCAGCTGATTTCTGTATAACTGTCCAACTTCCTTTCAGTTTAGTATCAACAGTTTCAAACCCAACCATGTGGCAATTCTATAAATATTAAATATTAATTATCATTAAATGCATGACACAGTTGGATACCCTTTTATGCATCTCTGACCGTTAGAAATATATAAATGAATGTATATTTTTAATATTTTTATAAATATGTATTATATAAAAATCACAAAATTTGCGCCAAAGTAGTAATTTATTTTTTATCTTGGAAATCATTTCTTCAAATGTCCGAGGACAATATAGTATTAAAGTTTAAATGCTAAACATATTGCAAGAAATGAAATATCTAAGAACTACAATTATACTCTACCGGTGTTTTAGTTGTGACAGTAATTGAGTCCATGTTTACTTCTACAGCCAATGAGGAGCGAGCAATTCGTTGTATAACGTTTCTGTCAACAGCTGACTCTTGTACAACCTTGTACAATTAAGTTTTACAGTACACGAAAAGTTATGTTTTTTAAGACTGTCACGTTAAACAGCTTACATTAAAAAAGTTTTACGCAGCGTTATAAAAATAATTGGTATTCGTTAATCAGAGTTTGTCAAACAAAGTTTAAATTTAAATATTTGTAAATAAAAGTTGAGACAGATTTGTTTCGCTTTGTGTACGAAGAAAACGAACGTTAAACAAATTTCGTTTTATACAATTAATTTGAACTCACTTTTGAAAAATAAATTCATTTTCCTACTGAAACTTTAAAAAAAAAAATATTTTTTTTCTGATCAATCGATTTTTTTCAAATGAACTTTTGAACAAAATTTCATTTTTTACTGAAAAAACAAAGAGCTAAAAATAAAAATGTTACAGAACAAACGATCTTACTGAACAAACGGTTTGAATAAACGATCGTTCAATTGGAAAACGAAGAAAGTACATTATGAACGATAATTCTGAAAACGAACTAATTAAAATTTTGTTGGACGACTGCAAAAAATAAACAAAATGGGTCGTTCATGAGAGATGAACGAACGAAAGAAAGAGTTTATGTAAAAACGTATATTTCCAATGGCTGAAGTAATATTATTATTTTAATAAAACCAAAGATTTGATATCATTCAACTTTGTTCTGTCTGTTTTTATATTTAGGGTTTCCACGAAATGGCTAAATCTTTTGCGCAAAATTTGCGCTATTTTCGCGCAAATTTTATTTTTGCGTTAATAATAATAATAATAATAATAATAAGAATAATAATAATGATGATGATGATGATGATGATGATGATGATGATGATGATGATGATGATGATGATGATGATAATGATAATGATAATGCTAATGATAATGAAAAATAAAAAATGAAAAATGAAAAATGAAAAATGAAAAATGATAAATGATAAATAATGATAATAGTAACAATAATGATAATAGTAACAATAATGATAATACTAACAATAATTTTAATGATAATAATAATGAAGATGATAATAATGATGAAGATGATGATGATAATGAAGATAAAAAAGTTCATAAACACAACTTTTTGCTCATGTATTTCCAAATAATAAATTATAAATAGATACAGGGCTATTCTCAAATGATGAGACTGCAGAGACAATTATTCTGAATTTTAACTGTCTGTTTCTTTATATTCAAGATTCCCTGAAACTGTAAACTTGTGGCTTTTACCAAATCATTTATTTACTTAACTATTATTTATATGAAGACTTAATTCAGCGTTTGCATCGTATTATTTATGGGTTTTCGTCGTCTATACAGTCTCATTCTTTGTGGGTAACCCTGTATATAAAATGAAACAGAATACTACCTTGAAGAACAGTTTCCTTCTCCGCTAGAACCAAGTTAACTCCTCCTGCAATAATTTAAGATGTCCGAAAATTCTATGTTTTTAATCCGAATACGGTTTTTATTTTCCCTTTAATGGCCAATTTCTTTGATGTTCTACCATACTTACCACCATAGTCACACTATGGTTAACCTGTACCAGAGCAGTGTAGATAGATATACGACCTTTAGTTGTACCCAAGGAGATATTGAATAGAAGGAGGGGACGATAGGGTTTTCTTACACTTTGCTGTGACGTTTTTGGACTGCTGAAGAACTAGTTTTTGCGTAACAACAATAATAAAGGCAGCCGATCTAATGTAAACAAACATGAGTTTGTAAACTGTGAAAGTAGTATTATCTTGTTAAAAAAGATTGAAAAATTTAAGGATTTTAGTTTTATACGAAAAGGACCTTATTACAGCGACATTTTAATCAAATTCAAGGTTACCCCCCCCCCCCTTATAAATACACCAGAGATGCCAGATGTCTGTTTATCATTTGGGTTATTGTTTACCATCTTTATTATTGTTGTTACGCAAAAACTAGTTCTTCACCAGTCCAAAAACGTCACAGCAAAGTGTACGGAAACCCTATCGCCCCCTCCTTCTATTCAATATCTCCTTGGTTGTACCAATGGTAACATGAATAAGAAATTGGCATTTCTATAGATGTCAGGAGTGGTAACGTAGTATCGTGTTATACATTAAGTGGGTATGAGAGGGTAGGGTATGATGCCCTCAACAGGGACTAAGCCCCCTCCTCTCTGAAAAGATATATAGTTTTAGCCCCCTTGGCCCTGGAAAACTTCTGCATACGCCCCTGATAACTTTATTTATAAACAATTACGTACATTCAGTACAGATGTATTTAAGTCGGTCGCGAGTGCCAGTGGCGACATAATGGTGATCAATTCTAGTTCATTATACAGTTAGTAGTGACATTATGGTAGATTTGTGTTCTTGCTTTTATTCTTATATAAACTGTTTTATTTTATGTCCTTGAAACTAATAAAAAAAGATGAAACTGTATCTACCACATTTGAGACTTACTACGTACATGTCATCCATAAATTCGCGAGTTATTTTCACAGATGAACAAAATCTATTTTTCAGCAGGATATATTTTGAATCTGATAAAACGCTCTATAAAAGGAGGATTGCTTTAATTTTGATAACTGCTCTTCTGTGTAGAGCCATTTGTCAAGGGTAATTTCTTCTAATACCGAAAACAATTAATTTATAATTGAAACAAAATAATGATAAATAAGATGACACTTTTTTTTGTTTTGTAAATCAGTATATTTTAACAAATTACCTATATCAACGGCTTGTCTAATTTTGTCTTCATGCTTTTTCTGCCTTACAACCATCGTCTCAGTCTTAGCTTTACGGGTTCCTAAATATAGGTCAATTAGGGTCAATTAGGATCAGTTAGGGTCAATTGGGGTTATTTGGGTCAATTAGGGATCAATTATGATAAATTAGGGTCAATTTGGGTCAATTAGGGTCAATTTTATTCAATTTGGATCAAATAGTCAATTAGAGACAATTTCGATCAATTAGGGTCAATAAGGGCTCAATTAGATTAAATCAGGGTCAATTAGGGTCAATCAGGGTCAATTAGGGTAAATTAGGGTCAATTATGGGGTCAATTATAGGGTCAATTTGGATCAATTCAGATCAGTTTGGATCAATTAGGGTCAATTATGGTCAATTAGGGTCAATTAGGAATCAATTAGGGTGAATTAGGGACAATTAGGGTAAATTTTATTCAATTTGTGTCAATTAGGGTCAATCAAAATCAATTAGGGTAAATTAGGGTCAATCAGGGTCAATTAGTGTTAATTAGTGTCAATTAGGGTCAATTATAGGATCAATTAGGGAACAATTAGGATAAATTAGGAACAATTGGGTCAATTAGTTTAATTACTGTCAATAAGGGTCTTAAAGGATCAATTTTGTTCATTTAGGGTCCATTTGGATCAGTCAGGGCTAATAAGGGTCAATCAATTGGTCAATTATAAGATTATTTAAGGTCGATTACTATCATTCTTTGTCTATTCTTGGTCAAAAAGATACAATTAGGACCAAAGTTAAGTCAATAAGGGTCAATGTTTGTCTGTTAGTAGCATAGTGCCCATAGAGAGTCGATCAGGGCTTTTCATCGATCAGATTAATCATTTTTTTGCGGTCAATTGGAGTCAGATTTAGTTAAGAAGCATTAGTTAGGGATAAGTCTAAACTAAAGTAGTAAGGGTTACTTTGTGAGAGCACGCTGGGTCTTTTGATGTAAATTTTACAATTAACTTATGTATTGTAAAATGTAGAAACCTGATAGTTAACAATCAAATATATATATTTTTTACAAAGCAGTACAGTTGAGAGTAAGCAAATTGAGGTACACATCTTAAAGTTCAAATAGTACAAATAACACAATTAGTTAGAAATATTTATAATCGTAAAATCTTTGAAATATGTAGGAAGGAATTCAGGATATTTTAAAATATCTTTCAAAAACCTGTTGAAAGATTATCTCATGGTTTAAGTTACACAGCAAAAAATGTGTGGAGACTTCTAGTGTTATAAGCACAGAGCAGAGATTAAAATAGAACTGGGAAATAAGACTATCCCTCGGTATGTATTTGTTCAGTTCCTTTGAGCCTAATATTGAGTTCAAAGTGTACAATTCATGTAAATATTCACAAATTACATGCAGGACAATGTATTTCACAATAATACAGTATGATCCCCGGACATATCCGTTGCAATTTTTTTTTCTATAAAAAGATGTTTCAAGGCCCGAAAGGTTTAATAGCACAAATGTGTGAAGTACACCTGCAGCATGGAAACAGTACAACAAAATGGCGGTTTTACACGTTTTTTTTACTTAATAATTCCGCTCTATATTTATCTATTCTATTTGGTTATCAGAAAGGAGGTAAAATGGTAGCATGGCTTTAGACGTGATTGATGAACAGTGTCTTACAATTATCTCTGAGTAACAATGATGATGATATCGTCGATTTTCCAGAAATGTCCTCCCTTCCTGTAGCATAAATCCGGTAATCATTTTATTAGATGAACAAGTGATAAATTTTAGCTTGACATTTTGTGTATCGGATTCGCCTCTCTAAAAATGAGGTGTTCCTAGAAATTACGTGTGAAGTCCCTTTAAAGCAACATGGCATTACAAATCTAGAAAGAGGAGACAATAATATTTTAATTAGATTTATAGTTCTTTCAAAGGACCCACCCAGCAAAATCTTCAGATCGAGTTTTTAATAGTTTGAGAGTTTGTCATTAAAATCTCAACATTTGTAAGCTGTAAGGAGGAGGGGAGGTGGCATACATTTATAAATAATAACAAAGCATTTCTTGTTCGGTTGATTTTTGTAAAAAAAAACCAGATTTTGTATTCAAGATATATTGTCAAATTCTTGGAATTTCGATGAAAATTAAACTGAAAGGGACTGTAAACGGAATCAACCCTTCCACACAAAAATTAACAATGGTTCCCTTACAAGCTTGTCTGATCAAGCAGGAATTAGATATCCCTGTTGAAAACTAATTAGATATCCCAGTTTCAGTCCTTCAATTATCATACAGGGAAATTTTCATCTTTCTAAACATCCCAACGAAAGATTTGACAGGTTTTTTTTTTACAAGAAAACGAAGTTTTCTCACATTAGTTGACATGTTTTCCAAGATTAAATAAAGAACACATAAAATTGCACTTATTTTCTGTAAGAAAGCACTTTATTTAAAATTATCACTATTATTAATAATTTTGTCGGACACAATACTGAGTTGTCACTTGTGACGTAAGAATACAGCTGTACTAAGAGTGAACATATTCTACGTTGTCGTCTAATGCACTAGAATCTTTTTGGGGAAAAATCAGAATTACAAACTTTCAAAACGGCAATATAATTCCCAGCATTGATCATTATTCAAGAGTACCGTTGTGAATCAGGCATGCCATCGTTTGGATGGAAAGTCACCTGAAATTACGCGGTATAGTCTCTTTAAATGGTGAACAGTCTCTTTAATTGTGAACAGTCTCTTTAAATGTGAACAGTCTCTTTGAATGGTGAACAGTCTCTTTAAATGGTGAACAGTCTCTTTAAATGGTGAACAGTCTCTTTAAATGGTGAACAGTCTCTTTAAATGGTGATCAGTCTTTTTAAATGGTGAACAGTCTCTTTAAATGGTGAACAGTCTCTTTAAATGTGAACAGTCTCTTTAAATGGTGAACAGTCTCCTTTTGTTTTTACGTGGATGTTGAATAACCACCCAAGTATAAAGATTTTATCGATATTGCCTGGATAGTATATATATATATATATAAAAAGATGGATATATTGTCACGGTTGGAAAATTTTACTCGAGGAGCTACATTGCAAGCATGTAACATTCAGGCAGTAAAACAAGAGTGGTCAGGGGTGTCTGCCCAAATGAAAAACAAAAAACCTTTCTTTGTGTAGACAAGTAGGCAAATGTTAGATTTTTTTGGTTAAATATTTTTTTTAGGTTTGGAAATACTTATATTGTAGGGTTTATCCCTGTTTGGCAGGCTTTAAATAAAGATCTAAGCTGATTTTGGTTTCAGTTTACAATTGGATTTAAGACCGGACACGAAAATATTGTTTTAAATGTATTATCAAATATATCAATATTACAAAGCTTCCCTTACCTAAACCATTATAAAATGTTTTATCTTTTTTCATCCTCATTTATCATCAAGAAAAATGCAATTTCGCAAAAAAAGTCCTTGAGGAAAATGTTCACGTAAAAATGAACCCATTTTAAATAATGTCAATGACGAAACTGTCTAAAAATAAAAATATCAATTTTTTTAAAGATAAAATGAATTGGTTTTCAGTTCTTGGCCTGGTGGGCCTTACTGTAGCAGCAAATGTGGAGGTTATCTTGGATGCAAGGTATCAGGGAGCCAACCATAGTTTTTTTTATCAAGGGTTAATTTCTGTAATAACGTTTTTGTTAAAAAAGCTTGTGGTTTTTATGGAGTAATCGTACAATAATGAGCAAAAAATTACCTAAAAAATAGGACTGAATAATGACAAGAAATAAAACACTCTTTAAATAAATGAATTGTTCAAAGATAAAAGAACCGATTTGTCGAAACTTTTTTTTAGATCCTTTAACTTTGCCACCTGATGGTTTAAGCCTTCGTTCTTTAGAAAAAAGAATTTTTTTAGTTGAATTCTATAGTTTTGTATTTTTGATAATTTTAATGATCCTCTTTAGGTCCCCTTTAACCAGTGAAGTATATTTAGGTCCCCTTTAACACTTAAAGTATATTTAGGTCCCCTTTAACACGTGAAGTATATTTAGGTCCCCTTTAACACGTGAAGAATATTTAGGTCCCCTTTAACACGTGAAGTATATTTAGGTCCTCTTTAAAACGTGAAGTATATTTAGGTCCCCTTTAACCCGTGAAGTATATGGGTCTCCAGAAACAAAAACCATTCTAACTGTTGACCAGGAATATGTTGATAATATACAGGTCAGAAAACATAATTTAAAGGGACTGTAAGCATAGTTTCAAGTGACCCTCTATCCAAAGTTACCAATGTCTAATTCACAATGGTACCATTTAAACCCTTTAGCTGATCAAAAATGTAGAAGATATTGTCGTTTTTTTAGATTGAAATGTGTTTAATTCTGATAGTCTCACATGTCCTGCAATGGAAATGTTCAAGTCAAGTGTAACATTGATATCTAATTCATGAGGGTAGCATTCGGAATCAAGCTTTGCCCTTTTGCATGAAGGGTCACTTGAAATTACGCTTACAGTCCCTTTCATGAGTGTTTGAAAATGATTCAATAATGTCCCATAGTAAGATTTTTAGATCTTATTTCACTCCGATGTTGTTTTGGCATTTCGCGTGTACATAGTAATATTTAACAGACACATTAAACTTTACAAAAATTTTAGAAATAAAAATAATATCTATTATCTTGCATAATACTATTTCGCTATGTTAGGTACATGCCCAAAGGCATTTTCCCAAGCGGCAACTTCCCAAGGGTATTTGCCCTAGTGGCAACTTCCCAAATGTGCAATTGCCTTAGCAGCAACTTCCCAAATCTGGCCTGCCCGCCGCGCTCGGCCCACGGTCTTTTCTAGTCGCGGTGCTAGGCCCCCAAGTCCAACATAGCTGCTAGATTAATGAAACTGAAAACCATTTGAAGTACTGCTGTACCGTTATTTTAAGCAGCCAGGGCAGGGAGTACGAAATAGAAGGGAGATATAACTGACGCGGTTCGCCCTACCACATGATTAAACATGCGCTGTAGACGAGTACTCCATTTGTATAAGAAATATATTCAGAATAGGTTATTGTATACGCGGTAATTGTACATCAGTCAAATATCTCTTATACAAATGGAGTACCGTCTGCAAAACATGGTAAATCATATGGTATGGCGAGCCGCGTCAGTTGTATCTCCCTTCTATTCCTTACTCTTTGAGCCAGGGTTAGCTGTACAATGAACATACTGGATAAACAGACGGTCAAATGGGACAGTACATGTCCTTCTAGTAAAACTAATACAATATACACATCTTTTGTATTTCCCCGGCCCCCTTTCCTACTGTAAAAAAAGCAATATTTAATTCAAACTAAAAGTTTCTGGTAATTTAATCATTTTTTTCTAGAGCAAAGTAAAAGAAGAAGATCTGACTGCAGCAGTTCTTCTGGTTGATGATGCTAGTACGGAGGAATCCTGTAATCTAGGTAAGTTAAACCAAACCAAGAAACTAGTTTTGGAACTCTTAAAGGGACTGTAAGCGTAATTTCAAGTGGCCTTCCATTTATAGAGGCATGTCCGGTTTACAAGGGTACCCTTTAAACCTTTTTCCGGACAAGGACATGTTTTGATGTTTTGTTTATGTTTAGTTCCATGTTTTGATGTTTGTCCATGTTTTGTTTCATGTTTTAATGTTTGTTTATGTTTAGTTCTATGTTTTAATATTTGTTAATGTTTAGTTCCATGTTTTGATGTTTTGCTTTTTGTTTAGATCCATGTTTTAATGTTTGTTCATGTTTAGTTCCATGTTTTAATGTTTTGTTTATGTTTAGTTCCATGTTTTGATGTTTTGTTTATGTCTGGTTCCATTTTTTAATGTTTTATTAATGTTTAGTTCCATGTTTTAATGTTTTGTTTATGTTTAGTTCCATGTTTTAATGTTTTGTTTATGTTTAGTTCCATGTTTTAATGTGTGTTCATGTTTTGTTTCATGTTTTAATGTTTGTTTATGTTTAGTTCCATGTTTTGATGTTTTGTTTATGTTTAGTTCCATGTTTTGATGTTTTGTTTATGTTTAGTTCCATGTTTTCATGTTTTGTTTATGTTTAGTTCCATGTTTTGAAGTTTTGTTTATGTTTGGTTTCATGTTTTGATGTTTTGTTTATGTTTGGTTCCATGTTTTGATGTTTTGTTTATGTTTTGTTTCATGTTTTGATGTTTTGTTTATGTTTGTTCAATGTTTTGATGTTTTGTTTATGTTTTGTTTCATGTTTTGATATTTTGTTTATGTTTTGTTCCATGTTTTGATGTTTTGTTTATGTTTAGTTCCATGTTTTGATGTTTTGTTCCATATTTTGATGTGTTGCTTTATGTTTAGTTCCATGTTTTGATGTTTTGTTTATGTTTAGTTACATGTTTTGATGTTTTGTTTATGTTTTGTTTCATGTTTTGATGTTTTGTTTCATGTTTTGATGTTTTGTTTATGTTTAGTTCCATGTTTTTGATGTTTTGTTTATGTTTGGTTCCATGTTTTGATGTTTTGTTTATGTTTGGTTCCATGTTTTGATGTTTTGTTTATGTTTAGTTCCATGTTTTGATGACCTAGAAGAGTATGTGAACAGTTCATATCCCCAGGAATGTTATCATAACAAATAGTTTATTTTAAACTTAAGAAAAATTATGATACAAATGAATCAAATTATTTTTAAAACTACCATCAAATTCTGTTTAAACTTTTAATTAAAAAGTGTAAAAAATTAAAAACCTTTAAAAAATAATAGATAAAAAAATAATTCAAAACTCTGCAGTTTAACATAAATGAAATAACAATACCTTTAAATGTTAATGTGTGTTTTTCTGAATTGTTTATGTGTTCAATTATTAAGCTTTACTTTAAATTACGCTTGTACTTATTATTTATTTATATGTATTGAATATTTATATTATTCTATCTGATCAAATATGATAATAAAACGTTTAGAAGATTGAAATATCGTATCCGGAAGATTTAAGCTTTGAGGGACTTAAAAAATCGCTGGAGTTGGAAAGGTAATGAAAAATACTTTGGGGGAGGTTAGACTTGGTAAATTCCCCTCAGCCGGAAATTTAAGAGTATCGTTGAACGAAACTCCCAAGTTTCCTTTTTGGGGTCTATGCATTTGTGTAGATTTTGATTTAAGAAATCAGAAAACAAAAAGAGAATTTTAAAGAAAATTAGTATTTCTAAACAAAAATATTGTTATCTACATAAATGACGTACCCCATTCATGAAACCGGGTTTCCGATACTAAGTTCCATTACGATACTCGGTTATGGGCGCTGGTTGTCTAACAGTCGGGCCGGTACTTCGGAGTAAGGATCAAAACGCTAAATAACAAAACGCCCAAAAACAAAACGCCCAATATCAAAACGGTCAAAAACAAAACGCCTTATCAAAAAAACGCCCAATGCAACAAAACGCCCAATGCAACAAAACGCCCAATTGCAAAACGCCCAATTACTAAACGCTCAATTAAAAAACGCCCAATGTTACAAAACGTCCAATGCAACAAAAGGCTCAAAATAAAAAACGCTCAAATTCCGAAAATATGAAAGATCCTAAAAGTCGGGGGAAAAAAATTCAGAATTTTTGGAGATAAAAAGTGTGTTATATAACTCTTAAAGATGTAACTTGAACGGCGTCAAGTATTCTCTTTGAAATGAAAGTTTAAATGAAATGAATTTGACCACAGCTAGCCGCAGCGTGAGACTCCAGAAAACTGACTTTGAGGAACTTTAACAGAAAAGTTATGAATTTCCTTGAAAAACAAATCGAACATTTTTGACTTTTTTTCACATAAAATGTGGACTTTTTGTGACATTGGACGTTTTGTATTGGGCGTTTTGTCGCATTGGGCGTTTCGTTATTGGGCGTTTTGTACCCACTCCGGTACTTGAAATAAGCCAGAGTTTCAAGTTTACTATTTGTGCTCGTTTTATTTATATAAAGTCAAATTATGTATTTGGCAATTTTTTTATATTTTATTATTTTAGAATTCTACTGATTGATGTGAGGAATAGATCTGAGCTAGTGGATCCAGGACAAATTCCAGGTGAACATTTTTGTTTGAAAATTGATTTTTTTCAGATGAGGTTTCTCTCATATAAGTGACATGCGTATTAAGGCAGGAGAAACAATAAAGAACATTTTCAGAATTCAACACTTTTAAAACTAGAAACACAACAATATCTGTCACATTATTGATTAGATTACATTTAAAATGTTACCATTGTTGAATGGAATTTACTATTTAAATATATAAATAGATGATCACTTGAAAGGAACCGTAAAGGAAATTTCAAGTAACCCTCCATACAAAGTTGGCAATGCCCGATTCACAACGGTTCTCTTAAAAGCTCACGTAAATCTGCCCCTTCAGTAAACGTAAATTCAACCTATATGAAGCATAAAGTCTGACCGCGTCAACCTTGTTGCACCGGCTAGTACTGTCAATATAGCTAGGTACAGTACAAACTGAGACCAAAAAGGTTGACCCGGCTCGGAAATTCAAAGTACTACGGCTGCCTGTGAGCTTTTTCTGATAAAGTATGAATTAGACATCAATGTTTTTAATTTTAATTTTAATTATTTCTAATTGTGGTTTAGCTTCAAAATATAATTTCTTCTGCAGGAAAAAAGAGAAATAATTATCAAAAATAAAAACTGTTAAACCCAGAAAAGCAACAAAATTTTCCAAATTAATTTGCAAAGGTTTTAAGAGTACGGTAATAAATCTGGCGTTGAAATCTTAGTATTAAAGGTCACTTGAAATTACGCTTTATACAGTCCCTTTATAAATTATATTTTTTGCAGGCAGCGTTAACCTTCCCCTTCATGAGATCCCTCAAGCTTTTGAGCTGAGCCCTCAACAATTTGAAGGTAGGTACTTAAAGGAAGTGATTACTCACCTCAAGCTCTAATTGTTTCATTCGTATAAAATTGATATTTAAAACGATGTTCGATACTTTCCCAACGGATTTTTCTCGAGGGTCAACTTCCCAGTGGTGCATTTTCCCAAGCGGCAACTTCCCAAGTTTGTCCTAGCCGCAGTGTTCGATCCCCAGTCTGTTCTATCCGTAGCGCTCGGCCACCCCTAGACCGATCTAGTTGCAGCGCTCAGCCCACCCCCATTGTAGCCTGCGGCGCCTCAGAAAGCCTAACCTAACATTTGGAAAATTGCCACTTAGGAAAATGCATCTGGGAAAACGCCTAATTCGCTAGAATAAATAATAAAAGTTTTAAATATTAAAGGTTAACATAATTTGGTTGCAAAGATATATGAATTATAAATTTGAAGTCTGGCGCTAATGTTTTATTTCTTTTTAATAATTATTTATACAGTATTATTTTAAAGTAATCTTTTGCAGTTACTGATCATAGATAACAGCTTAGGGCAAAGGGCAGTGTTTAATGTTNTATTTTGCTATATTTTAAACATCTTAAATATATATTTTGTTACATTTTAAACATCTTATATATTTTCTTATATTTCAAACGTTAAATAAATGTTATTATTTTAGAAAAGTATAATTTCACTGTTCCTGAACCCCTGGATAGAAATATTGTCCTCACCTGCAGGTAAATATTTAGAATCTAATTTATAAAGGGACCGTTATCCTCTTTAAAAATACATCTTTTCATATTTTTATTCAGCTAAAAAATACACTTTAAGGGAGTGTTTACTTTTTGAAAATACTCTGAAAATACTCTTAAAAACGGACTGTTCCCTTATTTCAAATATTCTTTCTATTTTGATTGTTCTTTTTTTTGAAAATATATTTAAAGAAATTGTTTTCTGCTTACTTATTAGAAAATACAATTATGGACTTTCCACTTATTAGAAAATACAATTAAGGACTATCCACTTATTAGAAAATACAATTAAGAACTATCCACTTATTAGAAAATATATTCAAGGGACTGTTCACTGTCTTAAAAATACACTTTACATTAATAAATATGGAATTAACTATATTTAGATCTGGAAAAAGAATATTGGTTGCAAAGGAAAGAATGGAAGCTCTTGGTTATGAATATCTAAGGTAACTATTTATCAAAAATATTATTTTATTTTCTGAAGACTCAATTTTATGCATTTGTTTAAAGGGACTGTAAGCCTAATTTCAAGTAACCCTTCATGCAAAGATTTACAACAGTACTCTAGAAACCTGTATCTAATAGTACTCTAGAAACCTGTATCTAACAGTACTCTAGAAACCTGTATCTAATAGTACTCTAGAAACCTGTATCTAATTTGATCGAAAATATGGAAGATAACGTTGTTTTTATGACTAGTAAAGTGTTAAATTTGATTGCAAGAAATGCGCAATTTTTCATAGAAATCAAAGTTATCAATTTAAAAAAATAAAAACTTCAAGTTTTAATTCATACTCGAACAGAAGAAGCTTTTGATTATGCCGCGTGGAGGTTTACTTGAGAATAAATATAAATATATAAATATTCTGCGATTTATTTTTATTCAAAAAAAACTTCACTGGAATACATAATTTTTGAAAGTTTTTGTTAAATTGAAAATATTGAAAGTGTAATGAATTTGCAACAAAAATCCATGAATAATAGATTCATGCCAATATAAAAATGAATGTATTGCAAAAAATGTCGTGACCCAATACCATGCAATTAAAATCAAAATATTGTTATTAGCCTATAGACATAAAAACCAGAATTATCAACAGGAAAATGAGCTTAAAGAAGTCAAATAAAAAATATTGAAATATAGTTTCTAATAATTTATAGGTTCAAAACCCATGCTCTAATAATCATATGATGGAAAAGATCGTCTTTAACCGTTGCAAACTAGCTTTCTAACTTGTGGTCTATCTTTTTGTATCTTAATTATACTTTTGAAAGACCTCTTGTCCTTCTTTGAAAAGGGACAAACTCACAAAGCTTGACTAAAAATAGACCGCGGTCAATTAAAGATCAAAAATGGTTGCAATTCCAAATTAATTTAAAATTCTCTCTAAAATGTTGAAAATAAAATTTGAACTTTTTAACTTTTAATTGTTTAATCTATTATTTAGGCTGTACCGGGGTAGCTTTAATGACTGGGTTGCAAATGGTGGCGATATCATTTAGTTTATTAATAAAGAAATATATCTATATTATATATAAATATATTTATATTATATTCAAATATATTTATATTATATAAAAATACATTTTGTATATCAACGATGCTGTCGATGTAAATTCAAGTGCTCCTTCACTTAGAGTTAGATTTTTTAGAAAACATTTTTTTTAAATTTCTTGTTTAACTTTGATTGCAAATTTATGCAGCAAAAGACAAAAAAGGAGATGAACAGAAATTAACACATTTTAAGAAAGACGATATCATAGGTACCTTTGTGAATTAGACACGAAGCTCTTTCACTTGAAATTACGTTGCAAGTAACGTTAATCAGATTTTTATATATTGACTTTTGCTCTTTTTATGATGTATATGTATGTTGTATGAACCTAAATCGTAATAAAAGTAGAGTAGTAATTACAGGATTTTATTTTTAACCACAAATTATTGTTTTTTTTTTTATGTGGAGACATAGCAGGTTTTTAAAAAACTAATTACTCTCCTAAAACTCTGATTTTCTATTTCCTTTATGTTGCAGCTACGGTTTCCAACGCAATTGGAATTTAATTTGCGCAATTTAGAGCCCTGTAAACTCCGCGCAATTCAAGAATAGTTGCGCGCAATTCCGGTCAACGGAATTCCGATCGGAAACCCTAGTTGCAGCCTACAGCCTGATGGTGTTATCCCAAATGACTATTTGAACTAGCAAAACTAACAAGGTTTGTGGCATCAGATTACAAAGATATAAGGATTAGAACATTTTAGTTAGTTAGTATTCAGATACGTTCTCTTACCTTTCGCCCAAGCCAAGAGCTTCTTAACACTGGGCTGGTCCTCCCCCTCCTCTTTTTCTTGAATTAAAATAAATTTTTTGAAAAAATTTGTAAAAACTATAAAAGGTATCTTTACCTAGATTTTTCAGAACCTCAACGTTGGTCATCGATTTCTCATTCTTGAACTTGCTAAACACAAAAATATGTAAATATTGTTTATACATTAGCTAGATCTAATAGTTTATCTATACTAGAAATTCAAGGCGCTTCGCGCCCTTCTTTCTAGCCTTAGAGGGCGCTTCGCGCCCATCTTCTAAATTAGTTGTGAACATGTTCTCTTTGTGTACATCGTAAAACAAAACAAAAATAATTCGCGGATTTTCACAAAAAATTTCGCGGATTTTCAAAATTTTTAAAAATTTAATGACGATCGAATTTTGATGGAGACAAATATTTGAAATTTTGATTTTTCATAAACCTTCCCTGGGGTCCCTAGATGTCCCACAAAAAATATATTGTTTCATACATTAGCTAGATCTAATAGTTTATACCTTATATTTTTCTTTACGCGTTCCTCAAATTCTGCTTCTGTTGAACCCCCGTTGGTTGTGCTCTTAATAGAAGACCTTCGACTGGAGGCAGTTGATTTGATAGAAGCACTGCGACTTAGAACTTTTTCCTCGTGTACGGAACCTGCATCTCCATTGATTACTTCATCTTGAGCTTCCGACTTAATAGAGGCGCTGTGACTAAGCAAAGCCGCTTTGATAGAAGCTCTTTTACTAGAAGTAGTTGATTTGATGGAAGCGTTTCGGCTTAGAGTAGTTTCTTCATGGTCTTTTGCTGGAGCTTCGGACTTAATAGAGGCACTGCGACTTAGTGCAGTGGACTTAATGGAGGCATTTCGACTTAGTGCAGTGGACTTGATAGAGCCACTTCGACTTGGTGCAGTGGACTTGATAGAGCCACTTCGACTAACAGCAGGTGACTCAATTCCATTAGATCGGATCTCTGACCTTATTGAAGCACTGCGGCTCAGCAGAGGAGACGAGGTATTCGCATCATGATTTTCTAAATAAAAATTGAAATAGATTTTTTTTTGAAGGTTGCAAAAATCTGATCTTAGGTATATCTGTATTAGTAAGAGTGAGTGCAAAAATCTGCAATGATGCTAACTTCAAAATACTTTTGATTTGTCTGTCTGTACTCTGTACGTCTGTTTTTCTACCCAATAAAAGTTAAAACGGCTGAATCGATCTTGCAACTAGTGTTTCCAGCAAAAATATTTTGCGAAAATTTTGCGAAAAAATACGGAATTTTAAAAAAATGCAAAATTCACCCTGTAAAATAATTAATCTGGCTGGCTGGAGCATGGCTAGCTGGATTTGGGTGAACGTAGGTGGAAGGACAGAAACTCAGAAAGGCAGAGAAATCAAACTCTCTTCATCAAATATGGTATAATAAAACTTCTCATATTAATCTCTCGGAGCAGAGAATTCCATAAGTGCTTTTGCTCAATTAATTGTTACATATTCAACACCCTTGGTTTTCGCGAAAATATTATACGAGATGCAAAATTTTCGCGAATACATTTTTTGAGAAATTTTGCATCGTTTTCGCATTTTCGCTTCATTCATTTTTGCTTAAAAATGCGAAATTTTGCGAAAAAGTTTTCGAAATACGATCGTTCGCTGGAAACCCTGATCTAAATCCCAAATAAGGTTTATGGTCGATTGAAATTTAAAATATTGTTTAAACAGTTTTTGTTTAATAAAGTGCTTGAAATCAACCAATACAAACAGAAAAAATCTTTTTTAATAATATATTTACGAAGAAAAAATGGCTGCAGTTTAGGAAAATTTTCAAATGTTAAATGATATTTCAATATTTGTAACAGGATGATAAAATAATATTTATATACATAAAGCAGAATCTCTGTTTGGATCTCCGATCACAACTGTGGGACCTCGAAACCGATTGGCGTCAAATTTTTATTGGGGAACTTGGTAGAACTGCACAAAATGTTCTGTAGTAATTGGTAAAATATTTTAAGCTGAGTGGGTTAAACTCCAGGCAAAGATTTCTATGTTCTTATTTTGAATGTTTTGTATTTCCTATTTGTGTGTGTTTGTGGGGTTTTGCAGTTGTCTATATCCCGCAGCTAAATCCTCTTATAGGATTATAAGGATATAGAGACAAACCATAATAGGGTTATATAACTTGGAAACCCAGGGTTGACTGGATACTTAACTTTCTCTTTAAAAGTGGGAAAATACTACTCTTAGAATTTTTAAACCGAGATAGAAATATATTAGAGGTTCCTTGATCAAAATGTGCGGCAAATTGGTCAAGGGATTGGATGGTAATGATCGAGCATACAGAGTTCACCAGAAAATCAACTATTTTATCCAGCGTTGCTTTTCAAAAGAGACTATTTTTCTTCATAATTTTGAATCATTATTTTTTTGATTTGTCTGTTAATTTTAATAGATTTCTAAAATCATATTTTTTAAAGTTTCTTTTCACTTTTAACTGTTCATAAACCTTTCCACACGTCATTTTAGTTGTCACAAAAAATGGGGGCTCTATAGGTTCATTCGTTTTCAAGTTTATTGGAAACATGAAAACCAAACCAAAGGAATTGAATCTTTGCCAAACACCAAAATTTTCTAATCTCTATACCTTTACAACCTGATGGAGCAAACCTTTGATATTTCAGACTCAGATTATTTGATCTAATAGATTTCATAGATTGAAACATATGTGGAGACGACAATGGGTTACAAAAATATAGGGATTAGAAAATCAAATTTTGTGGCAAAAACTCAATTCCTTTATATATATATAGATAAGTACTTGGGCCTGTAAATGCACACTATTAGGGATGAATAACCTATCTCAAAATTTCACTGATTATAGAGGCAAGAGTGACGTCTTATGCGCATTCTATCTATCTATGCTCAGAAGACGACATTTCCCGTACATTAAAGCGCATCGAGAGTAAGCAACCTTATTATACAACCTTGACCCTGATTAAAACCAACCTAGATCTGATGCAACCTCGTGGAGGCTGGCAATCCTATCCTCGGCAGTCTCACCAACCACAGTATCAGAGCTACCATCAGACTAATAAATCATTATTATTATTATTATTATTATCCATTTTGCCTAAATTAATATCAAAAAGAATAAAAAGAATAAAAACAGATTTTTTACATTTTTTTTGTAGCACAACTAGCTAGAACCAAATTTGTTAGTAATTTTGTTCGCAATTTCCTGAGGAACGAAAGTATTTAATAATTTAATTAAATTCTTTTGTAAATGTTTCAGATTTGTATAAAAAATTGTTGAAAAAGTTTTTTGTCGATTTTTTATGGAAATGAGTTTTTAATTAAAATCAATTTAAAATCAGTTTCTCTGGATACTGTGAAATATTTTAAGAACATTTCAAGAACATTGGATTGGACAGTGAGAACCTGAAAACTACAGTGATAACCAGAAATCTCTGGAATAGTAAGACGACTTTGAATATCAAGTTTTAACTTTAAAATATTCAACAACCATGAAACACAGCAATTGTAAACAGACCTATTTCACAGAAAAATAATTTCATAAGTGTCTGGTAAAACTATTTGGTTTGTAACACCATCAAATACACTTAAGTATTGCTACAATGCCGTCTTCCTATTCCATAATTTTCTGGTTATCACTGTATGCAATAGTAAAATGACATCAAAGCAATACTGAAGAGTATATTATATTGTAAGGAAGCACACAGTTTTACTAATAAGTTATAGGATCACTTATAAGTGCAATGCGAATGTTTACACTGCACAATTGCGTTATTCTGGAATTTTCTGGTTTTCACTGTCTTAAGTCTATCAAACCTGTAATATTCATCAGTCGTCTTCGAACTCTGAACAACACTACTCACGGCATCTTCGGTTACGCTGTACTCGTATAAAGATGCCTAAAGCAGTGAAATTAAAGTTAAAATGAAAAGAGTGTTCACAAAAGATGCAAAGATGTGGATTGTGAATTGATACCTAATCATATTAGCAATAGGTTATCTTTTTTTGCTGTCTTATTTTTCTGCATATAAAATGTATTAAAATACCATTTTTCTAAAAAAGGTAAAGTATCGGACTGTACTGGCAATAGAGACAATAAAACGGTAGAGTACAGGCAATGTAAAGAAATTAAAGGGACCGTTCACTTATTTGGGTAATTTCAGGGTAAACTAAACAGCCTATCAGCTATTCATTGGTAATAGTCTTACTTTTTAAAGACATCTGTGGCCGGAGAAAAAGCCGATTTTTCGTTCAGAATTTGAGCGCAAAGGGACGGTCCCTTTCTATACACACTATTTGATGTTTTTTTCAGTATGTTGTGGATCAAAATAAATTTCGAATATAAAATTAAACGGTAGTATCTAATGGTTAATTGTAAATGTTATAATTTTTTAAATTTTTTTGTTTTTTAACTTTCTATTTCTAAAATAAGACTATTTTATTGCATTAAAGATTTTGTATTGCCTGTGTAAAAAGATGAATTGAACGCGGCACGAAAATGAAAACTTGCGCTCATACGGGAACGGGGTACTAAACTATAATTGGGAGTTACTAATATTAT